GTACTGATCTAAAAGAAGAAATACGTGATCGTGAGTAAAGGAGCGAACTGAAGATACTGAGGTTGGAGCTTGTGCCATGCCCAGGGCCGTCGAGACAGTTATATATTTTCCTTCCTCGTTGGCACCCACGACATTGCCCCTTGCCAGTCCAGCTTTTTTCCTGAAATTGAAAACTTTTCTGCCCCTTGTCGCACTGGGCTTGCTATTCTCTTGTTGCTGATGTTCTAGATATGGCATGGGCCCCAGGAGGCCAAGGGTGGACCGACGGCGTGTCTGCACACATGTGAATGATAGGAGATGGCTAGGATGATGGGGAACTAGAGCGTGTTCCTTGTGCGATAGTTAGGACAGGCAGACGGCAAAACAAACTCATATCAACATTGACCGTGACATCGTCTTCGGTACGGTTACCAACTTATACTGGAGTCTGTCTTCCATGCAGACCTTTTTCACTATAATAATATGTAGTTACAGATAAATTCGTGCAGTTCCATACGTTCCTGCAAGCCTTGTGCTTGTCATGCAGCTTATTATTGCCCTAGTTACGGATAGATCCCAATCAGATATCTATTTTCCAGTTAAATTACACGAGCCGTCAGCCTTGCCCGGCTCACCGTCTTTATTCTCCGTCGCACTTCCCTCTGTGCTTTGGTTGGCGCTTTACCCCTGACCATTTCTGATTTCCGCTTCAAGGAGTAGTTACTGCACGTATTTAACCCCAAAGAGAGCTGCCAACGCGGGCAAGTGATGCTTTCTTAGGGAGCGGGCCGAGACCCCGCCAAATCGTGATGCATTCAATTAACAAGATCGCGGGCTGCGGGTTTGCCGATAAACTATCAGCCTTCAGGACGTCGTTTTGCAGTCGTCTCGGATTGCTACGTCCAACGGTGCAGAAACCTGGTATGTAGTTACCCTCACAAGACCAATGTGACCGAGTTCCTCTTCCAAGGGGCTGCAACGGTGCCTCTGGAAAAAGCAAGATCTGGCATGGGGGCATGCGCGCTCGGTCCCTCGCTGAATAGTCTGACGGTTGTCACATTTATTTTTGTCCATCATCGAAAAGTCAATCAGCCACCAGCCCCTTGTCCCCTGTTGTTCTCTTGCTGGTTTTGCGACTTGCTCCGTCGCTCCATCACCGCGCACCTGAACTTGGCGGCTCGGTCGGCGATGTTCCTTTCAACATTACTGAATCTGCCTATTCGGCATCTTCCATTGGGTTGGGAGAGCTATGTCTCAGGTTTGAAAATTTACACAAAGCCTTCGCCCACCTGGATGTCTTTTTTTCCAATACTGGGCGGTAACATAGGAATATTATTTTTTTGTATTACTGTCATTAATTCAGGATCTAGTCATCTATAATAAAGGTAGTCTTCCACTCGGGGATTTTTGGGCGCATTTTGTTCGACGCTTGGGAGTCACCATGTATGTCTCAGGACCTAGGTGTCGGCTTGCCGACAAGATTAAATAAGGCAAGACATTGAAGAGTCCAATGTCGCATTCCCAAGGAAATTGCAGTGTCTCGTTTCCATGTCTCTCGTCTGTATTATGGTTCAAACAAAGAACAAAGACGGACATGCCCAACGTTGGCTCAGACTTGCCTTTACGACGTCATTGATGTGCCAGTGGATGCGACGAGCACGAGGCCAAAAGGGTTAGCCAAGGAGCAAACACACAAGTTGGCCGCATTCTCATCTGCAAAATCTGGATCACAGCTCAGAAGTATCTGTGCTATCATCACCGCCAAGGTAAATGCATCATACTGCTCTCACCGTTCATGTCGCTTCATTAGCGCCGATGACCGTCGTTCCCTTTGTTCTCCCGCTTTCCATCTTGGCCGTCCTGGCACCGAATTGTATCTATCGGCAAGTTAGTTCTAATACTCAGCCTTGGCAAGGTCCATTGTTATCCGACGTACCGCTCTCTTCTTCTCCAAGGCTACCGCCTCTAGGCCAATACGCCTGGCGAGGAGCCGCAGAATGCGCTTGGCAGGTTCGACGCCCCCTTCACCGGCAAGGTCGTTTCCGAAATCGCACTTCTGCCACACCGGTGTCTCAATGGCCCATTTCACCAGGCGTTCGTCGAGAAACGGGAAGCGTACCTCCCGCGCCCAGTGAGACATGGCCCTGTCATCACGGCCCAGATTTCTCTTTCCCAGACGCCCGACGTCGAGCGTGAGCTCCTCAACCAGGCCCTCGTAGCCGCGTCGTTGGAACGCGATGCCGTGCCTCGAATAGCCGCCAAAGAGCTCGTCGGCACCCAGCCCGGAAAGGAGGACGCGGGCCGTCGTGGCGTACGGGAACGGCTCGGTGTCGACGCCGGTCTGGCCCAGACCTTTCCCACGGGCCGCAAAGTACAGCGCAAAGGCAATGGATAGGTCCATCTCAGTGTTATGAGGGGAGATGAGGCCCACTACGGTAGTTCGATGAGATGAGGTTTCGGAATAGGGGACATTTACCTACCAAAGTGTGGTCAGCCCTGTCATGTTTGAGATGTTGACTCGCGTACTCACTGCTACAAATCTCCAATTCCTTTCAGGGCAACAGTTAACTAGCTCTGCGAATGATTGCCTTCCGGTGATGCGGTCTGGGCACAGTTCGAATAACTGGTCAACCTGGATGTCCTTGTGTTGAGCAGCTATTCGAGGGTTCTCGAATGCAACATTTAAAAGGTCAATCTGTTGATCCTTTGGAAGTAGGTCGTCGGTAAGGCGGGCCAAGACTGAACAGTCGAGGCCGCCGGAAAACAGGACGGCTACACGGGCCTGAGACTGATTTGCTCCAGGCGGCACAGGTATGCCTTGTACACGGCACTTCAACGACTTCAGGAGGTGATTCTGCAACGTAGAGACGGCTTCGGAGCCTTCTGTCAACTCTTGTGGTCCCTCTGGAATGGTCGCATTGAACATGCCAAGCGCCGAGATCTGCATCATCAGAGAATAATTCCCTCTAGCACAATGCATCACTTACCAGCTCTCCATTGCTGTCCCAGTCGTGCCGCACAGGTTCTACAGTGGGAGAAAAATTACCTGCCGTCAGTGAGATACTGTAGCATCCATCCGCTTCCACTTCTAGCCAGCCTGCAGTCGACGCGTCTGCTATGCTCGACAACTGGAACGTGTCGTCGTCGGGCTTTACAAGGAGCGATCGTCGTCCCAGGCGATCGCGGCCGTAATACAGCGTCCTATTCGGCCTGTCCACGAAGACAAGGGCAAATGGCCCTTCGATTGCGCGCAGCGTGCCCAGAATGGCGTCCTGGCCAAGGGCGCTTGCGGCCACCAGCTTCGACAAGACAAGCTCGCCGTCGTTGCCTGTCACCGGCTTGTCGTGGATCCTCCACGCCTCGCCGTTCCAGCAGAGCGCCGACCCCGAGTTCTGGTCACATAGCGGTTGGGCCGTCGTGTCATGGCCGCGTAGTGCCAGGACGGTAGATGTCAGCGAGACAAACAGCGGCGAGAATTTGTCCGGGAAAGCAATGGTCAGGCGGCCGAGATGGTCAGGGCCCCGGCTGTGCAGGCGCATCTCCAGTGTGCCGGATGGCGAAGTCGTGACATTATGGGAGATAGCAGCGTGTATGCCGCACATTTCTCCCAGTCCTAGCCTGGATGTTGCTGTTTCGTCAACTGCGGTTGATGAAGAGAAATTCTTGCGCGCCAGGAAGTCAAGTGGTAGTGTGGCGGTGGTGTTGAGCCCCACGTGGCGGTGTTTCGGCCTTAAATGTATATAGTACATAACAATAACAACATGTAATTTACTTTTTCTTGTATTTGTGTAACGTTGCCTATCGTTTGAGGTCTATCGCTTTCTTTGGACCGTTATTAATGTAACTACTCTTAATGTAATCTACCAGGTACCTAGCTATAGCAGTACCTGAGTGGCCGTCATTTGAGCTCCTCTTACACATGTTCAAGCTGCATTTTTCTTCTTCGCCAAACAGCAGGTTGGAATAGGGGAGTGGATAGTAGCGAGTTGCGGCTTTGAATCTTCCACATCACAGCATATTTGCTGTCGTCTTTTTTTGTTTCAATACTCAGAGAAGCTTTCTCTTACACGTCACGCGGTACGACCGTGTCGCTACCCTACACCTCATTGGTGAATCTCGCTTATTAATGTACCCTCACGAAGACTGTAGAATCCCCCTGACTGCTTCGTCCACTCCTCTCACCACAATGGTCGGATTATTCCCTGTTCCATTTGCGAGCCCGTCCAGCCATCCCTTGCCAGTACGGTCTACCCAGGCGCTCTTAAGACCAGCGGCCACGGCACCACAGACATCAAACGGGTTCGACGATACCAGCCATACGCTACCTGGATCCCCCTTCCTCCCAGCCAACTCGACCAAATTCTCATAAACGCTGGGGTGGGGCTTGTAGACACGCAGCGGCTCGACGCTAATCACCCTCGTCGGTGGCAAGACGTGGGTGGCCTTGGCGAGCGCGGGCGATGTTGACATGGACGAGGCTAGCATGCTGGGATCGCCGTTTGAGAATACATAGGCGCGTACGGATTCCTCGCCGGACAGAATCTCCAAGCCGGCGTTTGCGTCGGGAAATGTGTCCAGGCCGTTGTACGCATTCATGACGCGCTCTTCGTTGGCGGGTTCCAGCTCGAGGCCTAGCTCCGCCGTCGCATGTCGGAAGGACCAACGCGTCACATCGCTGAAGCTCTGGTATTGATCTAGTGAGTGAACCCATTAGAATGACCGACATGATCCATTTTGCCACGTCAACCCACTCATGCTGTTGCTTCGCCACGTGTACTCAAGCTGTAGAGTCCGGGCTCGCGCAGCCAACGCCTTGGCCATTTCCTCTCCATAGAGTTTGGCCAATTCCGCAGCGATTGACTCCGTTGATAGGAGCGTGCCATAGAGATCAAACGCAATGATGGTTTGTGGCATTCTTTCTGCTGTCATGCCGGGGGCTGTGTGGTGAGTCAGTTAGGCCAGCCAAACCGCGAAGCGTCACAAGCCGCCCGCAAATGACTCTCTATACTCACCGTGTTCTGCAAGTATGTTTGATGCGAGATTCTACGACGTTCTAAAAAGTTGGATGAATCTGTATTCAAATATTAATGACGGCTTAGGCGGGGTTACCCCGTTCAAATACGGGAAAAAATTCGACAGGACAGCCAATCACGGGTAGATCGCAACTGCTAGCCTCCGTTGACCCGACTGGAAGCTTACATCACCTACCACACCATTCCAGAGTGGAAAGCATTATACCTCCATCATGGAAGCGGCGAAAATGAAGAATTTTGCCATTCTCGGAGACTGTTTCGATGACCCTCTTGGAGAAGAGAAATGCCAAGTCGGAGCCAAAACGACGACGGAGGTCCAAGGCAACAGCCGCGAAATCAGCCTCACGGACGGGCTCGCAGGAGGAAGCAGAGGATCTGGCCGATTTTATTGACTGCCTTGCTCATGAAATCTTTGACAACTTACGAGAAGAGCTACAAGAGATGGACTACCGCCCACGGAGAGACTCACGGAGCCTTCAGGACAAATTCTCACTACCCTTGACGGTGGGGATGCTGAATCTGCTATTATCAATATCCGAGACCTTAGAGCGTATAGCCTGATTTCGCCTGATCCAACGACATTATCGCCCCTGCCCCCGACCGCCGAAGCCTTTATTCTACCCGCGGGAAACAATGGCGGAGGAATGCGAATCCCAACGAGCATGGATCCCTCTCTCCTATCACCATCTCATCCCGCGATTCGTGCACGACAAGGTGGTCAGGCGCGGGTGGCATAAAAAAGAAGACTTGCGGAACCTGGCCTGGCTGTGCGGCGCGTGCCATCGCTTCGTGCACCGTTTCAAGAACCACGAAGAGCTGGCGAGGGAATATGACACGGTCGAGCTTCTGCTGGCGGAGGAGGAAGTACAGTAGTGGGCATATTGGGCGGCGAAGCTGCGATGGAAGGGTCGAGGGGTTTGTCACCGATGATGCTGGTTGCTGTCGGGTCTTAGCATGGCACCAGTCCATCGACCTCAAAATTAAGCTGCTTTCATACCGCCAAACGATCCTTCAAGATAAGCGTTACTGGAAAACTTTGTAATTCTGGCACTGGTCAATTTCATTGTCCAGCTCTGCTGCTCAATTGCGCTGACCAATTCCGGCCAGAATTGCCTGATGTAGTCCCTGCCTGAGACTGCGCGCCGCCGATAGTAGCGTAGCACATTGTCGAACGTTTTGCGGGAGAGAACACCTTCGTGGGATACTTGTCTGCGTCGGCCCATGTAGAGCTAGGCCTATAACTATGCAGTGGTCCCATTGCATCGTTGTCCCAGCCGAGGATGTCGGCAGCTTGAGTGATGGGATCACTGCAGTCGCGACTCATGTTTATATTGCGCGTACTTTAAAAAGATCCGGCATTATCCCAACGGCTCGAGCCTCTCGTTGCTCGAGAACCATGAGGAAATCGATAGCATGCAGCCTGCCATGTGGTCTCAATCACCTGCGTGCGGCCAGTAGAGTCGGGTTACTTGGACTCTGGGATTAGAGAGAAGTCGATAGGGGCACTCAGGTCTTGCTCAATACCAGTAGAAGCAATAACCACAGGCGTCGCTCCAATATCAGTGGCTAAATCGATAGATTTATTTATAAGTATTGGAGAGATAATTAAGGTTCTTTAGAAATTGCAACTAGGTTATCTGGCGGAACTAGTGCCCGTAGTGGTATTGGATTTGTAGAGCCAAGACAGTTACAAAGCGCCAAAAAAAATGATGAATCTCCGGTACAGGGAATCGAACCCTGGGCTGCTCGGTTCAGACTTGAGAGCGAGCGATGTTAGCCACTACACCATACCGGATGCTTGGACTTGTTGAAGAGCCGATTCTTATTGATCTATACCAAGTCTTTAAGAAAATAGTACTTACTCTCATCGCATTTTTCGCCGCCAGTCTGTGATTTCGAAAAGCGGCGTCAGGTGGGCCTAACTACCCAGGTACCTAGGTAGGTATCTACGCAATACTATTAATAGGACATGCACTTTGTAGAAATAGACTAATAAAAGAAAGACGCTTCTAGCTACAAAACCCTAGCTCGTAACGGATCATTTCCGCGCTTGCCGTCCTGAAGTTGTCCATCGTCACTTGGCAGCTACGGGAGTAGCAATGCCTTTACACTATGGCTGAGCATCTCGACCAAGTCATTCGCATGTATTCCGGGATCCCCGCGACTCTGGGAAAAGGCGCGGAACGATGGCGTGCCCGAGTTGACGCGGAAGTTGCCAGTGCACTAAGTTATTGCAGTGGCTCCACATAGCTAAATTTTAGCTATGTACGTCCTCGCGCATTCAGCAGCTGCACGATTTCCTATTCCAACACACAACAATTTGCCCAACTACCGACAGCCGAGGGAACTTCCGCTAACTACCTGTGAAGCAGGACTAGGTAAGAGCGCTGTTCAAAGGTCTAGTGGCAAGCCATCGACAACCCAGCGACGCGAGCTATGGGACGTGACAAGGACGGCAACGGCGACAGCCGAACGCGGCGCGATCATGATGACGACAACAAAAGACGCGATGGAAGGGAACGCAGATCACGGCGGACGTCGCCGGGCGACGAATACTGCGATAGGCGTCGCCGCGGGTCCCGGGAACGACGCAGGTCGCGGACACCAGATTCCGCCAAGAAGTCTACCCGTGGCCCCCCAAGCAGCCGAGAACGCGACAGGAGCCGCGACCGAGAAAGGCGACCTCGGCGTGAAGACGACTATGGAAAGCAGCCATGGCATCGCCGCCGGGACCGTGATCGCGATATTGACGGGCCTAAGGAGAAGAGCCGAGGGAGCCTTGTCCGGCGCGCCGGCCCTCTCCCGTCACAGCAAGCCTCGTTTGCGGTAACCCAAGGCGAGGAGCCCGAGGCGCCCAAGGAGACGGCCAACTTTGGCAACACGGGCCTGCTGGCCGCCGCCTCCAATGCGGTGGCGCAGGCAGACGGCTCGGTCGTGACGCTCAAGTACCACGAGCCGGCCGAGGCCCGCAAGCCGCCGCCGCGCGACCAGTGGAAGCTCTACATCTTTAAGGGTGCCGTTATTGTAGACACGGTTGACCTGAGTGCGCGCAGCTGCTGGCTGATCGGCCGAGACGCGGCGGTCGTCGACCTGGCAGCAGAGCACCCCAGCATCAGCAAGCAGCACGCCGTTGTGCAGTTTCGCTACACGGAGCGGCGCAACGAGTTTGGCGACAAGATTGGTAAGGTCAAGCCGTACCTAATTGACCTCGAGAGCGCCAACGGGACCGTGCTCAACGGCGGGCGGATACAGGATAGTCGCTACCTGGAGCTCCGGGATAAGGATATGGTGCAGCTGGGGCAGAGCACGCGCGAGTATGTCGTCATGTTGGCACCGCGCGAGTAGCATTCCGTTCCGCACGGAACGTGAAAATCGGAAGGGTAAACACGATTGAGTTCCGCGATGCAACGTTAATGTCACCGGATGAGCTGAACCGTTGCCTGATAGTAAGAGCTCCCTGAAGGCGGGCTTCGGCTTCGGCTTCGGCGCCCAGCGGCACGCTTGCATTTGGCTTCCCCACCCCTAACCATATTCCATAGGCGGACGAAACGACATCAGCATGTGACAAGGGACCAGGGAGTCAGGGACGGACAATATAGTGGCGCTTCTCAAAGACGCAGTACGACAGGTGTCTCTATGGTGGCTAGTCAATTGTGCAAGCGACAACACAACTTGGCTATGTGGCTAGTTTCTCAGCTATAACCAATGGGCATGGGCAGCAGGCAGAGTGCCTCGAGAGATTGCTGCCATGTCACTTGCAGAATTTTAAAGTTTAGCCTGCGGCTCAGGTGGACGATCAATGACGCTAATAAGCCAAAGACTCATTGCATCTTCGATCCAGGTACACTCAACTCTACCAGTCACGGGTGGGGTTATTTTTCTGGGTATTCGGCTCTTACCGTGATGTTCACGGACGAGGTGCAAATTTGTACGGTGATATGAGCCACGACGTGAATGGCCAGGGCGACACGCCAGACCAGCGTTACGACTGAGTGAGCATATCTCTTTGCACATTGTGCTGGTGTCATTTCAAAACAACACTGGGGTGATAGTCGATCGATCACTTGTCAGGTATTTTTACATACGCCTTTTCAATCATTGTTACGACACAGTCAGTGTTTCCCTCCGCACTCTGCAACCACATCACTTGTGCTGCCACTTCTCGCGCAACGGCAATCCTCATGATTTGCCTCTGAAGCATTTCAGATGACAAGAAAAATTTTTCACTCTCTCGGCAAGCCGCGGCCCGCACATGCTGGAGACCACCGACAGCCGAGCAAATCTACCCATGCAAACTGAGAGAACGAACCAACAGATCGAGTTTTGCCAACAATCCGCTACGCCACTGTCTCTGCCTGCGGGCGACGGTGGCTATGGGGCAGCCCAGCTCGGCTATCGTCGCGCACCGATGGAGAAGAAAACTCATCCAGCCAGTCGCCTCGTCTCCATTGCTCGGCCCCGGGACGCACACACCATGACCGAGTTGAACCTAGGTGGTCATTTGGGCCCTCGCCGAGCGGAATTTGATTCAAACTGTATTTGGCCTTTCGCCTGTAAAGATCTAGCGGCCGTTGGGCTGCCGGATGACTACCTGTGTATGGTTAGTACGCGGCTGTCGTCAAAATCTCTGCGCGCCCGCCCCCCCCGTGAGAGCGCTTTGTGCCCTCCTTCTGCGCCTGCGAGCCGTGGCTCTCGCTCGCCCTAAGATCGTTAAACTTCTCTTGGGACCGATGTACTCCGTGACTACTCCGTCACGTTACGGGTACACCCCTTGTGGAAGCGAAGCCATATCCACAGTTGCAGGCAAGAGCGTGAAGGAAACCGGATAACGGGAGGCCGACGACCGTGAATTCAAAGTTATAAAGACAATGTGAAACCCCGACCTTCCATTTCGATTCTTTATTGTGTCACCTCCTTCCATCATCTAGATTCATCTTGCTTCAAGCTTGTTTGATCGCGAAACTAGAATTGGCTGTTCACTCTCACAGCTAACACCAGGCGTACCTATCCCGGACGCCATCACCAAGTGGTTCACTTGTTCAATAATCACCTCTTGTACAGACAACAATAATCACATAATTATGTCGGTCGCTTCCGAAACCTCCTTCTCCAAAACCTCCACCACGAAATCACAAGCCGTGGTAAGTTCCGTGCCCGCGCCGCATCAAGCTACTCGGCGATCTCCGCCTTGCCCCCCAATTGCCTGTCAGCCAACTTACACCAAACAGGCCACGGAGAACCGCAATGTTGCGCGCTACGAGACGACAGCCGTCTACACACACCCCGACGCCGAGGTCGACATCGTCCTTGTCCACGGCCTCAACGGCCGGCCCGACCTGACGTGGACGGCCGCCAACGGCACGTTTTGGCCGACCGACCTGCTCCCCGCCGCGCTCCGCGGGGTGCCCGCCAACGTGCTCGTCTACGGCTACAACGCCGACGTCTACTCGCGGCACCACGACCGCAGCGCCAGCGACAACTTCATCCACCAGCACGCGCAGACGCTCGTGACGAACCTCGCGCTGTTCCGCCGTGGCGAGGGTCGCGCCCGCAACCCGCTCGTCTGGGTCGCGCATAGCCTTGGCGGCGTGCTCGTCAAGCGCGCGCTGCTGTACGCGCACGACGTGCGCGATGCGCACCACGACGACTACCGCGCCGTCTACGTGTCTACGTACGGCATCGTCTTCCTCGGCACGCCGCACACGGGCGCCGGCGCGGCCACGTGGGGCTGTGCGCTGCAGGCCATGTCGGACGCGGTCCTGCCGCGCAAGCTGTTCGAGTCCGAGTCGGTGCTGCTCAAGACACTCAAGAAGGACAATGAGACACTCGCAAACATCAACAGCCACTTCCTCGACATTTACCAGCGCTTCCGCATCCACATGGTGCACGAGAACCACAAGACGGACCTCAAGGGCACGAAAATGCTCATCGTCGATGCCGGCTCCGCCAGCCCCCCGCTCCCCGGCGTCACCTACTATGGCGTCGAGGCCACGCACTCGCGCATGTGCAAGTTTGACGCGCCCACCGCACCCGGCTTTCGCGCCCTCTCTACCGACGTCCGGCAGTGGGTGCTCGACGCGCCTGCCCTCATCCGCCAGCGCTGGGCCGCCGAGGATGCCGAGCGCGCGGCCCGTCTGCACTGCGACATTTCTGAGCGCATGGCCACGCCTCCCCCGGCCGCGTTTGCAAGTTACGGCATGGACGAGGTCGTGCCGTCGTCGGTGGCCGCCAGCCCCGCGCCCCCGTACTCGGCCTTGACCGCCCCGCCACCGGCCTATGAGCAGTTCGCCGCGACGCAGCCGCCGCCGCGGTATACTCCGGCCGCCCCGGCTCCCGCTGCTACTACTGCCGTCCCAACGTCCACGGGTGCTTGCCACTGCTGTTGCCGCGGACTGTCCTTGTCGACCGCGGCGTCGCAAAAGGAGCAGGTCGCCGCTGTTGTGCGCGGCATCACCGCGGCCGCTTCGCTCGCGTGTGACGCCGCCGAGGCTGTCGTCGGTGGTCTCGCGGACCTCGCATCCACCGTACGGGGAGCGTGCCGCGCCGCGCCGGGGAGCGAGCGACAGGGAGACACGCTTTTCCCGCAGCCAAAGGCGCTGTGCAGCCACGACGATGCGTCGAAACGGCGTAATTCTTTTTAAGTTTCTCATTTCTTCTTACTGCTCCGGCAGCCAGAACATGCATCCCATCTATAGACACTCGTGCCTCTTATGGGGCATATCATCTTACTTGATTCTGGCGTTTTGGGTTAAAAAGTCCATTATTTTCTACTTCATTTGTCATCTCAGCGTCTTCTTACTTCTACTTTCATAATACCAATCGCTCGGATATGGTGCTTCTCTCTCCTAACGTAGCTGCTATCTTTTTATTACATCAATCAGCTCTGTGGCCCTCGACCGTGCAATGCTATTGTTCTTGACAAATAAAGTCTACCTGGGACTCTGGATTCTACAGCTTGCTCCATCCCATTTTCTGCCGCGCACGTCAAACACTCACCCTCGCTTAGAAATGCCCTGGATACTGGTCAAGCGGCGCACCGTGTTCTGAGAGCGGCTGTTGAGAAGGTCGGGGTACCTCAACATTGGTTCATTTCGGATGAAACGGCCTTAGCTCACCTGTGATGCTGATTGCCAACTTCCGTACTTGCCGAGCCAAACCGGTCGCCAGACAGGATATCCTCGTCCTGGAGGTAGGGCAGGATCTCTGCCAGGGCGTCATCGCGGTCAAGATGCAGAGGGGATATCAATGGTTGAAACGACGGATATATGTGCTGACAATCTTATCTTTGGGGTCCAAAACGGCGAGTAGTTGAGATTGACGGAAGGGCAAGACGTTGGCGCCATCGACACACATGGATTATTTCAAGTACCAGAATCGCATCTGAATATCACACGGGCATGGGAATCGGTGCCAAGGAGTACACGGTCCCGAGCTCACAGCGGCCCGTGAACGCTCGTGATTTGCGGGCGCGAAGAGTACCGACCCCTTGAGCTCGCTCCAGTTTTGGCAAGTACAACTGCATGGGAGACATTTACGGCGTAGACAAATAGAAAGGAGCTGCAAGGCGTCATTGTGCCGCGCTCGCACGACGGGGGCCGTGAACAGGCCCGGTACAATCAGCTGAGGGATCGTTCAATCGCTACTTGTTTGCCAACATCAGCTATGGCATATTTTACGACGCATACATGGACAACGGCAACAAAAGCGACAGACGCTCTCCTCGATGACTTCATCGCCGGCCTGAACCGGTTCTCCATCGACGACCCCGGCGAGGTGATAAGGGCATCTCCCATGGGGGCCACCGGCGATGAACCGCAGCAAGCCCACGCCCGAGAGCAATGGCATCTCCGAGGTCAAAAAACCCCCAAAGTCCAGAGGAGCCAAAAAGAGCCCGATTAAACAACTGCGTGGACAACTACCGCATCATGCAGTCAGCGTCGTCGTTGTTCGAGTCCAACCGCGAGACGCTGTACGACCACGGGCTCAGCTACATGACGCCCGCCATGTTTCCCCGCCGCCATCTTGCACGACGTGTCTCGCATGGACCAAATCACCGAAAAAAGGTACCATGGCCCCGACTATATACGGCGCGCTTGTGCGCGGGCGCTGAACCTATCTGTATATGGTGAGCCAGAACTGCGACATCAGCCACGCCAAGAACCCCGCTGTGGGAAAGCCGCCCAAGGCCATCAAGCATGGCTATTGCTGGGGGGGGAGCATTCTTCATCGGAACCGTTTCAAAGGTTTTATATTCATGGAACAGTCTGGACGCAGTACCGCCTGGCTTTTGCTTCTCAGAGGAAGCCGCCTGCTCAAGCCTATAACGGGCATAAATATCCTATTAGACAAGTCTTTAGGACCTAGGCGTAGTAAACAGGATCCCCCCCCCCCCGGTGTGTTGTAGACCCGACCAACTGGGCCATGAAACCAGTATCGCTCGCTACTAGTTTTCCACTTTTTCTTTTCGCAAATGCGAAACATTCTCAGCTATTTCACAAAGGAGGGCGGGTGGACCGCAAGTTGGCTGTCGATCAACGTCCGAGATGACTCGCCCGCCCGAAAATGCGCCATCCTCCGTGTTAGTTCAAGATGCTGCATTTGCGCGCCACGTAGTTTAGAACCGGCCGTTGGGTTGGCAAAACACCAACCGCCTACCCCTAGCCTTCAAGCCACCATGTATGTATTACAGTGCGTGCGACTAGGGAAAGAACATTAGGGTCTAGAGGGGGGGGCGGGGCTTTCCGGATGCTGCTCTTGGCATTTTGTTCGTACCATGGAACAAAAAGATGGGGATCACCAGATAGTATGTTCAGCCACCTTTGTTTGACACCGCTTGTTGGTGGTTTTGCTGAACAAGTTTCATGCGCGCCCCCATGTTATTACGCTGGATTGTGGAGTTGTACGCAATGTTCAACATCAGGTGAGGTGCATCAAAAAGCTCACTCAGCATTAAGACTGCCGAGAAAAAGAAGAAGAAGAAAAAAAGAGGAAAAAGAAAAGACGAAGAAAAAAAGACGAAGAAAAAAAGACGAAAAAGAAAAGACGAAAGAAGAAAGCAAATTATTGACACGTGGGTGCGGCTGCCAAGGGTCGAGTATAGCGGAATGTGAAACCGATAGCCGACGGCCTGAAGTCCTGTCGCCTTTGCCAAAGAAACGATTTGCGACTGCTGCATGATGGACAAGACAGGCAAAAGAGACTTGTTCGGTGTGGGTCTTTCTAGTCCCTTTTTTTTTTCTTCCTATTCATGTTTGCCATTGTCCCTTTTCTCCCACAGTTACACCACATTTCACACATTTCAGGCTACCTAGTATGCATCTAGTTTACCCTATGCAGGGATAGGGTGGTTCTCTCGCTCCACCAGTATGGCTCACCTCCGCCAACAGCAACGGCTAGGTGCCCTTCTTGGAGGTGGGTGTGAGAGACCATGCTTGTAAAGTCGGGAGAAGGGTCTTTTTTTCTTTTTTCTTTTTTCTTTTTTTTTACGACCTTTTCTTTCCGCCTCGTACAGGGTGTGACGTACGTCGTATCTGCCGGCATGATATGTGCATCATCGCCTCGGTCTGGAATGGCATGGGTAGAGAGTTGAGAGACATGCTGAGATGCAAGTGGAAGCGCCGAGGCTGCACAACGACAATCCTGGGCCTGTGCTATCTCTAGTTGCATTGGGCTCTGCGAGTCTGGCAATCTCGGAAAACTGTCCAGCGTCGAACATGTAGACCTAGATTGTTGAAGAACTTGTGAGCGCAGAGTCCGAGCCGTTGTCGCGCTGCAGCCGAGGCGGTGGCCTGCCGTCATTCCTCCCGAACTCGGGGAGAGGCTATGCTATCGAATAGGATCCGGCCATGCTTCATCCTTTTGCCCAACAAGGTGCCATCGACACGAAACTACAGCGCGAGCGGGGACCAGGCTCGGGTACGAGGAACCAGCGGCCGGGGACGGATGGGTATTGATTGCCATGCGGTGTGAGGGCGGGCTCACTGGACTGATAGTCACGATACTTCAGATTCCGCCACCCGCGACAGCTTGTTTTCCAGATCTGTCCAAAACCCACGAATGTAGAGTAACCCAGAAGTCATCATGTAAACATCTGGGTCTAGATGCCTGGGGCTCTGCCGATACCGTTGCAGCCATCTGTCCCAAGATCGTGAAGGCCCATTTTAGTAGTCAAGGTCAGACGACGATGACTGGGCATCCTGCGACCCGGGATGTTTGCTGCCACAGCACATGGCAGAGTCATACAGGGCCACATATTATCAAAATAGCTTTTTGGTGTAATCAATAATCCCAGCTCTGTTTTCTGAGGACCAGCGTCTTTGTGGCTTCCTGTCGTCCAACAAGTGAGATGTAAGGAGCAAAGAGCGGATAGCTAGCAACGCTTCGACCTAGCAAGCGTTGCATGCCGCGCCTCTGCATGTTGATTAGTTTGATGTCGATTGGAACTTTTCCTGGAACTGGCACAAAAGATAGATCGCCGATGTACACACTCCATAAGTTACCCAAACTCGATTGCTGCGCAACGGGAGGGAAAAAAGAGGCCGAGCTAGTTTGTCGAGGTCCCACATGAAGCCTCTGCATGTAGCATCTACAACATGTCTCTCTGTGCTGGCCCCATTCTGACGTAGTTGGTATGAGACGTGGCTCCGTTGGTGAGGCCATGTGGATGCCGTTGATAGCATCCTAGTCAGGCGAATTGATAAGCGTTCAAGGGCAAAAACGTATTCAAGTCTGGGAAGATTGGAACGACGAAACGACGAAACAACGACACAGATGGCGCCAGAATCTACAAGTGAGCGATGAGCGTTAGCAAATGCGGTTGGGCGTGCTTCTCAGCGGAACTAATAGCTTTTGAGTTCGACGAGTCGGCAGGGCGTTGCAAGTTACACTTGGAAAGCTACCTACCTACTGCTGCAATGTGCCAATAGAATTAACCCACATCAGCCTCAAACATCTCGCCGCCAATCACGCTCCTGCTCATCTCAAGAATCATCTCTACAGACGGCGCATGAGATTCCGCCTCAATGCTGTGTAACAAATAGCAGCAAACAGATAACTCGGGCTGCAAAGTTGCCAAGGTAGGATGCGTCGCATCGACACTCGACAATCTTGTACGACTCGAGGCGATGGTCCAACTTTGACTTTGCATTCCTGTCTGCAACTCTGCGTTGACATGGCGCCGTGCTTGGACGGGATCCGCGTCGAGCGTGGTCGCACCGGTTGGTTGATGGTTGACATCAAACGGCCGTGACGGGGATAGTCGGTATTGTGCGGCGGGCATAACGGAGGGGCCAGCGCGCGACGCAACCCTCCACCGGGCAAGCCAGCGCTTCATCCTTTCCGGCACTGCCACGGGATACTTTGGCTTTCCGTCGACAGTGTACACCTGTAATCAACGAGTTGACGTCACGGCAATCCGTAGCGGGATCCATCTTGTTGTGTCTTGAGGCTCCAGTTTAAGGCCCCGGCAGGTAGCAGTGTCATAGCGTGAGAACGAGAGGACAAACTGGCAGCCCTGCGAGAATGCGAAGGATAGCTAAAAAACCGCAGAGAGGATGGCGAGAGATGGTGGATCATGGCGTCTTGGCGTTTTGACAGCAGGGTAGTACACAGAAGCGAGAGGCTGATGTCTTATTATGGCGCGAGGTTGCACCGGTGCAAGGCGTGCAGGAGGCCTGCGTTTGCCGTGGCAGATGGGCTTCCGTCCACGGCGAGGCAGACTCTTGGTCGCGGTGGTGGTTGCTCGATTCAGTACGGATATGGCCTAGGCAGCATCTTGATGGAACGGACGGGGTCCAAACAAATGAGTGCATTGCCGTGCTTTTGCGTTGCGTCGACGAGTTCTGCGAGGGGAGGGGGGGGTTGGCTACGTGGATACCAATGCGTCATGAGCGTGATTATTGCAGCTGCGCGAGGTATTCAGAAGATGATGCGTGTCCGGCCTGTACGAGATGGGTTGAGAGAGTAGCGTCGGACTGGGCGAGGAGACGGATTCGTGCCCAGATGGCGAGGAAAGAGGGGAACTAGTATGCTGTTTGTTTGTTGGCGCATCACCAGCTAACACTTGCTGTGGCTGGGAGAAGAGAGCTGTTGGGCGCCCGGTTTTGAACGGTTGAAAAAAGGAACTGTGGCGTAAGATTACTAGATTCCCTACAGGGGTAGGTCCTTGCATCTACTGCATACCTAGGTAGTTTCTTTACAGGGAGCCTTCACCGTAGAAACAACGGATTCCGGTTCCGGGAGGGCGCCTGCAACGGCGGTGGCGTTATCTGCAGCAAGCAAAAGGGTTGTGCAGAACCGGCGGAGCCTCAACAGCCTTGAAACAAGCCATCTGGTTCGTGATTGGGAGAGATACAGCGACAGTCCATCAGCGCAAACTAAAGTTTCTCGTAAAGACAAAGGGCCGTAGTGCCTGAATCATGAAGACCACTCCCGAAATTGCGACGTGCAAAAAAAAAACAAAAAAAAAACACATGTGCAGCAGAAAGATACGTAGGTACTGTGCACTTTACGCACGACACGTCCACCTGGTCCACTCGGTTTAAAACTCTGGCTCCCTATCTAGTACCTACCTAGGTAGGTACCCATCCGCTTTTGCATGTGCAGCCTGCAGCCTACCGCCTGCAGGCCACAGTTAAAAACCGCCCCTTACCCTCCTCTCGGCATCCACGCGCCGTTCAGCAGTCCCCCCTCGAGAAAGAAACTTGTGGATCGGCTATGGATCTCGTTTGGGATCGTGCCGGGACCCTCGCCGCCACTGACAACGCCGCGCCGCCACATGGTGCCTGGTTCGGGCCCCCGGCCACTCCACTCGCCGACGTCATGAGCGTCCACTCGGTTTTGGCCGGGTACGCTCCCTCACCACCGCCGTCGTACTGCACTGCCATGTAGCTTTCAGCCCATGTTCGGCTAGTTACAAAAAAAATAAAAAAAATATACTGGAGCCAAAAGATAAAATGCCGCAGTTTGCGTTATCGCCAAAAGGACCCCTCTCAGTTACTGCTAGTTCCCACCCTTTGTTCCCTGCCCCGGTTTAATAAGTAAAATGAAAATAGGAAAGATAAAAAAAAAATCTTCACTATTTCGATGAGCTTGGCCGAGTTCGACAGGCCAACGTGCTGATACTGTGGTATCGGAGCTCCGCTGTTGATGCTCCGTAATGACGCCCGTGTAAATGGCGGGACCGATAACGTGTACATGGTATTGATGGGTGCCGGCATCGACGTTGTTGACAAAAGAGAACTTTGAAACCCGCCTATTGGGGATTCCCCCTTTCTCATGTATATAAGACGGATGTCCTCCTCAAATCCACTGAAGATCGATCCATTACTCTCATCAACCTATCAACTTACATCTTCCGCCTCCTAGACTCGCCCCGTCTGCTCTCAATCCTCTTATATCCCATACTAAACACACAACTCCTCCAACATGGCTCCCGCGGCAATCACCCCCGAAGTCTCCCCCGAGCGCCCCATGACTGTCAAAAAGATCGAGACCAACCGCTCGCACTCGAGCTCCGTCTCCTCTGTCCGCTCCGCGCACTCTATCCAGCTCAACGACGGCAACTCCATCCCCACCGTCGCCCTCGGCGTCTACAAGGCGCCCAACGGCCAAGAAACCGAGGACGCCGTGACGGCCGCCCTCGACGCCGGCTACCGCCACATTGACTCGGCCGCGCGCTACGCCAACGAGGAGGCCTGCGGCCGCGCCATCCGCCGCTGGCTCGACAAGACGGGCACCCCGCGCGAGGACGTCTTCGTCTGCTCCAAGCTCTGGGACGCCGACCACGGCTACGAAGCCACCTTCAACGCCCTCTGCTCCTCGCTCGACAAGTTTGGCCTCGAGTACCTCGACCTCTACCTGATCCACTCGCCCGCCGACGACGAGGAGAAGCGCCTCGAGTCGTGGCGCGCGCTCGAGACGGCGCAGCGACTTGGCAAGGTCCGCTCCATTGGCGTCTCCAACTTTGGCGCCGCGCACATTGAGAACCTGATTGAGAACTCGACCGTCGTGCCGGCCGTCAACCAGGTCGAGGTCCACCCCTTTTGTCAGCGTCAGGCCCTCGTCGACGTGTGCGACAAGTACGGCATCAAGATTGAGGCCTACTCTCCCCTGGCCCGTGGAAACAAGCTCGAGGACCCTACTATCGGCAGGATTGCTGAAAAGTACGGCAAGACTCCTGCGCAGGTCCTCCTCAATTGGAACGCTGCCCGTGGAAACGTTGTCCTGCCCAAGTCTTTGACTGCGCACCGCATCAAGAGCAACTTTGAGTCTTTTGACTTTAAGCTCGCTCCTGAGGACGTCGCTAGCATCGACGCTCTGGAGTCCAACTATGTCACCGGCTCCATGCACAAGTCTTCTGACTAAGTGTACAAGACAGCGCCGTCTTTCTGTTTCCTTTAGAGGATAATTCTTGGGCAGGTTCCTTGAGTACGATACCACCTCTTTTATACGACCACGTAACTTGGCATTGTCCGTTGTCTGCTGTGATTTTCACAAGACCCCCGGGACAGTTTAGTGGATATTATGAGCAAAAACCACTGGCTCAACCAGATTAGGTTCTACATTGATTGTGTATTAGCTGGCGTTTTCCTTTTTTCATATAGTCCTAGATTGCGGACTCAATTCATCGAACAGAAGTTAAAACTGTCCAAATCAGTACAATTTCCTATTCATGTGAAGTCTATAGTTAATCGTCCAAGTTGATTTTGTAAGACAAGATGGCTGAATTTGTAAGCCTATCTAGATGACTTACTATACTCCGTGGGCCCACCGCAGCCACACACGGTAGGCAATAAAAGTAGGCCAGGAGCGGTGAAATGGCATCTAGAATGATGACGAAATGTTCAGTAGACATCGTTGAAGCCATGTGCGTGCATACAGACAATATTCCTAGTGGATAAGCGTCATGCATGTTCAGTGGCTGTGGGGGGGATTTTCGGGTGCTGCAAAGATCGTGAGATCCAGACGGGCGATTGCAGGTCCCACCAGCCTACTACCGAAAATCTGGGGCTTCGGTCACGCAGACAGGCGACTCCGTTTAAAAAGGTCCAGACCTTGTATCGACTACCATTATTAGGTAGCGTGAGGGAGGGGTCACCGTTTTGCGGCTGCAGAAAAGGGAGATAGGATGGGAGGAAGTCGAATGCAGGGTACGGCAAGTTGTCGATATAACATGCAGGGATTTTCTGACATATGCGGCAGCCCCGGATTATGCAACCTGGGGGTGGTGTGCCTGACGCGCCCACCGCCATCACCACCACCATCACCATCCTTATATGCTGTGCTACACTGCCATGCGCGGTCTAAAGTGTGGCGCGTGAGACTGCGTCGTTGGTCAGATGAGGACACCACTACAGCCCCATTGCGCGTGTGACCAAACTTGGCCTTGCGCGCTGATCAGCCGCTTGCTCGTAGGCAGACGAGATCGACCAAGGAATGTTGTCGTTGTTGGCATCAGTCTACCGCGAGATGGCGCGTCTGCCTGGTTACACCTGCGATGGCTGACCAGTGCGCACCAGGCCGTGCGCTTTTGCGTGATGGCTTAGGTAGGCAGGAGCGCTGTTTGGAGGCTACTTGTGCGGCTGCTAAGAAACTCCCCCAACAACGGCAACGTAAATGGGGGCGATGCCAAGCCTCGCCGTGGAATCTCAGACTTCCCCTCCCTCCGCCCTTCACTGTCAACATGCCCTTGCTCCTACATCTTCACCTCTGACCCTAGATTGCGACCGACCGACTGACCGAACGACCAAAAAAACAACCGCGTGCCATGAACGCCGCGACCGACTTTTACCGGTCGCAGGTGGGCGGCACCGGTGTCATCAACTACAGCTACACAGATTTTCCCTGGCGCCTCTTCATCAAAGATGTCTATTATTTCTTCGTCTACTGCTGGGCGCTGCCATGGGTCGTCTTGCCGCTCACGCCGACTGACTCGGGCGAGTTGGACGAACTCTACCCCAGCTGGGCCAACCTGTGGTGCCTCGCCGTCCACGGCATTCTTATCCTCCTCCAGACCATCTTCATTCTTGGCCTGCTTGTCGCTGTGCTCTTTCCGGTATGGCTCGGCGCCATCTTTGCCGGCGGCTGCCTGTTCCTCAACTGGCTGCTTTGTCTCCTCCTGAACGGCAAAACTATGACTTTCCGATCAGACGAGAAATACGCCAAGGCTCTGCCAGAGCATGAGCACGAGCAGTGGATTTTCTTGAATGGTGTTGCTGCAGGGTATGTACAGGTGCTGGCGTGCCGATATCTGAATGTCTGTTAATGAGCAATGTCAGGGAGCATTGGATGAAGAATAACTTAAACCGACTTGCCATTACATTTGGCCGACCGATACTTGGCGTCCATAACCGCACCTCTGGCATCATATTCGACGTTATCGAGTGTCTTATCCAGCGAAACTTTTCTTACGCCACCAACGACGTTCGCGTATGCTACAAAATTCTCCGAGATGTACTGTACGACCCGTCAAAAACGAAAGTCATATTTGTTCTGCATTCGCAAGGTGGAATCGAAGGCGGGTTGGTACTAGACTGGCTTCTTCAAGAGCTGCCCCAAGATCTCCTGTCCAAGTTGGAGGTGTACACATTTGGCAACGCCGCGAACCATTTCAATAATCCTCATCGCCATGCTGAGTCGCAGGCTCTCACAATTAAGAAACCACGAGAAGCCCTGGCAACACTGGTAACGGAAACGAGCATCTCGGGTATGCAAGTCGATGTATTAATAGATGCGGGTGACGGCAAGCCGCCATCGCTCGTCACCCATTCATCGAGCATGTCAACATCGACGCGAAGCTGGAACGCGGCACAAGATCGTGCCATTGGCTACATTGAACATTTTGCGCACACGACAGACTTTGTCGCGATGTGGGGAGTTTTGCATTTTGCGACAAATAGAATGGGTTCGCCACAGCTGCCCAGATTCATGGGACGCCTGTTCAGTCGGTCGACTAGACGTGGTGGCCACCAGTTCAATCAGCATTATATGGACGGCATGTTTCCGCTGGAGAGGGATGCTCACACCGGAGCATTTATCGGCGCCGCGGAAGAAAACGAATTCATGGAAGAGACGATCAAAGTCGGTAAGGAGGGCGCCGCCATGGATAACACGCGCGAGGCCTTTGACATTACCTACATGGGCACGACAGGATTTGGAAGCGGCAACATTTCGACGCCGGTGGAAGTGCATGGGACTCCTACCAAGAAGAAGTCGACACATGAATTCAAGGTCAAGGACGTGTGTCGGCTTTGGAGCTACAGAAATGGACGAAGTCCGCATGATACCACGTCAGTGACGGGTGCCGCGGCCATTATGGCGCGCACTGCCACTCTTTAGCAGGGGCTGTTCATTGACGTGGAATAAATACCCCGTACTAGTAGATGCATTAGACCCAAGTACGACATTATCGAGATTGCCTATAAGTAAATCGAGCATCGTATGATTTGGTAGCCTGTAGTTCCGTTGCTGAGCCGTTGTTCTTTGTGGGGTGGCATTCGAGGCATAATTGCAGTTTTTAAGCATCCGAAAGCAATTTCCTTTGCCAAGTCGCATACCTTTGCGATGAGCGGTAGTTATTAGACCGCTCTCGGGCTTCAGCTCTGGCAAGTTACTCTAGGGCGGGCGGAACATCGACGGGCACGGACGCTGAAAAAAAAAGTTGATGCAAGATAACAACCACGTACGAAGTAAATGTCTCGCGGGAGAAAAAAAGACAAGGTTCGCGAATTGCATGCTGGACCCTTGACAACAACAAGGTTGATCCTTGCCGTGGAGGGCAAGATGGCAATTGTCCGATTTTAAGCAAAAAAAAACTACACTTTTCAAGGACACACTGTGTTATGTATGACATGGGAGTGCTTTTGGACAACGCGCAACTTGGTGACTGTGGGGGTTCCATTCGGGACTGGGCACTGGGGCACGGAGTAGTGGTATGTAAATAATACCCAAATATTGATAATATAATCAACATCAGACGGTGGCGCTGGCAATGGAGGGCGGCGCATCGTAGTCGCCCAACCTGGGCATGCAGGGGCCGACGACGTTACTGCAAGAAGCTCTGTGCGCGTGGGCGCAGGCGCGCAATCTTACCCTGTGAAGGCAGCATTGAATAAAAAGGCTCGGAAACAACACTCATAACGAAATAATTAGGTACATAGTCAAGTCGTTCTTTTTGGCCAAGGGAATCGACGCGGGAGAGAGTGGGCGGGACTAGGGGACGTGTATCGGTACCCGGTCCCTGCTGGTGGGCGGCAGGAGCCGGGTCCGGCTGGGATCAAGGAACCCCGTCCGGACGGTTTTGATTACGGCACATATTATGATTAGAAAGCAGCAGCAGAAGCGGCGTGGGAAGAAGTAACAGCGGTGTCGCAGCCAAGGCGAAAGGGGGCAATTGGAGCATGTCGAAAATGGGAAGCGTGATTCTCCAAAGTCAAAGGAAAGCCCCATCCGAGCGGCACATCGCATCAAGCGTGCACGCAGCGCATCCCGTGTTTTATTAATTAGTAGCTTGCAGCTCGGTTCGTGGCCTGAAACCCCCTCGTGCCTGACTTGCTGTTTGGTGCCCGTTGTTTGGTGCCTGACGAGGGGCCTAAAAATTACATAGTACCTACTAACCTACCTATTTATTTAACCACCAGGTACACTAGCGATCATTATCTTCTACTTCATTTTTGGCGCTTGACCAACTCTGGACCAGCGTTCCCGTCAGCCCACGAGCCGGCGTGTTACAGGTCGGTCTGAGAGGCACAGCTGGGGAAATGTGGTGGATGACGACTCACGAGTCACTTGGTTTTGGATTGGAGAGCCCTTGATTTTTTTTATTTATAATTTCTCCGCATGGAAGAGCCGGTAGTACTGGACGTACGAATTACTGGTAATACACTATTGGTAATACCAGTACGGCAGGAGAGGAAAAGAACGGGTCGACAACAAAGAGGGAGGGAGATTGTGAGAGAGTCACGGTCTTGTTTCGAGAGCTGTGGTGGGCTGGCTTGCACACACGCCTCAAGCTTGTCCTGTGCGCCCCATCCATCTTCATGCTCATTTGTTTTAGTTTTTTTTTTTTTTTATCTTACGCGTGCAGGAGCCGTGAGAAGATACGGGTAAAAAAAGTACCGTGAGAATTGCTTTTTCTTTCCTCTTTCAACACACACACGCGGCACCCGCGCAAACACTCGAGGGGTTCTTCCTTTTCTTTTTTCTCCCCGTCCTGACATCTGTCGTCCTACCCTCAAACGGCAAGGGAAGAAGCTCGACCGAAAGTTGGAACCCTTGAATTCTGCACTATTGCAATTCAACATTTTGCTTCCTCCTCATCATCATCACCATCCTCTTCGTTCTCTTCTCTACAGCGACGCCACTTGCGCTGCACGCCTGCGACTCAGAGCACCCCGCCGAGACAGTATTACCACCAACTACCAGGAAACAAGCGACAATTGAAACAGCGACTGACACTAGCAACTATTAGCAGCTCTTGTTCCCCGTCACTGCTGCTGCCTTTCTTTTTTCCCTCGACAATTGTTGGAGGTTGTTCGTCAAATCGCTTGGTTTCGGTGAGAGCCACACGCAATGGTTCCTCACTAGAACTCTACCAGGGGACTTTGCACATCCTCTCCACCTGTCCTCCACAATATCCTCCCCCTTTGGCTACAGCAAGGAACCCCAGCCATCTGCAGCTGGCAAGGAGAAAGGACGAGGGAAAGAAGAAAAAAAAAGATTAGCGTGCCCAGTGGTGTACGGAGGAGATACAGTGATTGACAAAGAGGCTGCAAAAAAAAAAAAAAGGTCGCAAGCATGGCATCGAACCACCACCACAGAAGGCATCGTGCCAACAGCAGCAGTTCATCAGTTGGCATGTCGCACACGCCTAATCACCGCGACTCTCACGACTTGTCGTTGTCGCCGCGCGATGTGACGCGCGACTCTCTCGTCACCAACATGCTGCTGTCGCTGGATCAATTCTCGCTCGGCCAGCAGAGCAGCCAGTCTGACCAGCGAAGAAGCCACTGGGACCCCCCCTCGCCGAGCAATCACAGCCCCGGACGACCCCAGCACCACAACCTCCGCCACCACCCATTTGATGGGGCACCGCCCTGGCTTCCCTCGACGGCACCAAAATCATCTGGTCCTGCTGTTCGTCCTGTTGCTTCCTCGCGCTCCCACGAGCCCAATTCCCATCACCACCACGCCCACTCGTACAGCTCCGACCTCGACACCGCCGACAGCTCCTCCACCCTCTCCACACCGCCCGACGCGCGCCGAAATCACACCACCACTACCCGCCGCACGCCCAACAACGCATCATCCTCGTCGGCCTCGTCTTCGACCACACGGCAAAGCACCGTCGACGCCGCCAACGCAAAAGTCTCCGCGGCCCTTGCGAGTACGCCCGCCCGCCCCCACCACAAGCAACATCTCCCGCCTGTTACGCCGCCCACCCGCGGCGCCAGTCTGGCTCCTCACGACATTTCAGGCCGTCCGCCACGCGCCCACCGCGTCCCCAAGCATCAGCACGACGGCTACCACCAATTCCTCGCCGAGACGACGGCCCCGTCCTCCCCGGCCGTCACAACATCTCGTCGCGACTCGTACCCGCCCCGTCGCAGCAAGAGCGCCGGCAGCTCCAGCGTCCGTAAGCGCACACCCGGCACCGCCACCACCGTAGCCTCCCCGGCGAAACTGCGCCCACCGCCCCTACCCCTGTCCTCGGTCATTGACTACGACGTCGACTACCTCAGCCACGACTACGAGGCCGCGCCCACGCCCACCGTCCCGGCTGGCCCTCGCCGCATCGGCGCTGCGGCTTCTTCGCGCGGCACCTCTTTTGACCACGCGCCGCCCTCCATCGAGCGTAAGCGCAGCTCTCGCACCCTCTCCCTGAGGAGTGCGTCCGGCAAGCTCAGCCAAGCCGCCGCCGCTGCCGCTGCCGCCGCGACCCAGCACCAGCATAAACACCAGCAACCGACGCCCCCGATGCCCAGTGGCGACGACTTCGAGTCGGCCCCGGCGCCGAGCGTCGGCTACCGCAAAGCCAAGGACGACGAGCACCGCGCCAAGTCCTCGCACGCTGCGTTCCCGTACCAGCAGCACCCGGATCAGACGCAGCAGCAGCCGTCCAAAGAGAAGCCCGGCTTCTTTCGCCGCGTTTTCGGCGGCGGCAACTCGTCCAAGATTTCGCTGCTACCACCAGAGCCGTCACCGCAGCCTAACTCGCCACGACCTCCGTCATCACCGTCCCGCTATGAGCGACCGCCGAGCGGCAAACTGACAAAGGAGCAGTCGAAATCGACTTCGGCGCCGCCGTCCCGGGATACCTCGTCATCGCACTCGCACCAGCCGCCGCCCCCGGTACCGCCGCTGCAGAAGAAGACGTCGTCGTTCTTCCGCCGACGTAAGAAGTCGGTGGTTGACGACGCCCCGCCTCTGCCGTCCTACGTACCACCCGTGCCCAATGTGCCCTTGGCATCGTTGAGCAACGGGACGAACCCTGGAGCCGACAACCCCAGTCCCGTCAGCAGCCTGCGCCAGGCATTGGACCCCTATCTCCGCAACAGCGCTGGATCGGCCGCTGGTGCCGCGAAGCCGAGTGCGCTCGCCGACATTACGAATATTGTCGCAGGCAGCGGCGACGACGACACCGACGAGCCCAGACCCCAGTTTCAACGCGAATTTTCGCCCGATTACGAGCCGAGCCCAAATGCCAAGATTCGCAGCGTCCCCAGCGACGAAAATAGTCACGATTCGCCGTCCAGGATTTCTCCGTCGAGGAAAACTGCCGCCCCGGCGACCAATAAATCAAATCCTGCCGCCAATCAGACCTTTCTCGACTTGGATAATGCGAGCGAAGACGAGCGCACGGGAAAATTCGGGGATAGGCGCTCCAGGTCGGAGCTTTCCGTCTCTGCCCATTCTGAAGCGACCGACGTTTCGCAAAAGGACGCAAGCAAAGATGAGACCATTCGGGCCAGTAAGATGACTCCCCGCGTCCTGGAGCAGCTGAGCTCGGGGACCAGCCGCAGCCGCTCCAACTTGAGACTACCCAGCGACAGCCACCGGTCCGCGAGCGTAGGCACCATGTCGACCGAGACAGACTATAAATCAGTCCCTAGCGCACCCCCGAGCGTGCGTGTCGAGGACCTTGACGAAACCGACTCCTCCAAGACCCCGAGCACCATGGACACGATGCAGGCCAAGAGCGGCCTCGACGAGCCGCTCTTTGTGGTGGGCGAGCCGACCGAGGACGACCGGGTCAAGGCCAAGAAGATTTACGACGGGCTGGAAGACTTTATCCGAAAGGACAAGGCGGCCGCGTGGATGGGCGAGGAGGGCCCGATACGGAAGCGTACACTGCAGGCGTATATGGAGCTTTACAGCTTTACCGACCAAACTATCCTAACCGCCTTGCGCAGTATTTGTGCACGCCTGATTCTGCGGGCCGAGACCCAGCAGGTCGATCGGATCCTCGTCGCCTTTTCCAAGAGATGGTGCGACTGCAACCCAAACCACGGCTTCAGGGCGACTGATATTATCCACACCATCTGCTACTCGATTATGCTCCTCAACACTGATCTCCACGTCGCCGAGATTGAGTCCAAGATGACACGCAGCCAATTCGTCAAGAATACGCTCTCGACCATCCGACAGGCGCTGCACGAAACGAATCCTGATGCCTTTCAGCGCCCGAGCATCCTCCCCGACCGGAGCCCGATGCTGGTTGCCGATCCGCCCGCGGCCGAGCTTGACCGGTCGAGCTTCCGCCACTCGTTCCGCCCCTGTCCGCGACCAGACACGCAGGGCGCCGACGGCGAAGACTGCGGACCGCTCGTTCGGGCTCCGTTCACTGGCCCGTTGCGCGTCTGGGAGGAGCAAATCGAACAGGTCCTCAAGAGTATCTACACGTCCATCCGCGACGACAGGCTGCCTCTGTTCGGCGCCGAGGATCGCCCCGTCGGCCCGGCCCAGTCGTCGAGCAACCTCTCGGTGATTGGGATGCTGAAGCGCACGCCGAGCGTGCTGAGCAAAGCGCCTTCGGAGGGCCAAATGTCCTCGCGCGGACGCATCACGGAGGGAAGCCGCAGTGGTGCCTCGCGCTGGACCTCGAAGAGCCGTTCCCGGCCCGGACTAGGACGCAACGGCCTGGCATCTAGCAGGACTAGCTTCGACGACGATAACTCCTTGTGGAGCCCTGCCATGTCTTCGGCCACCTGGAGCCGCTACTCTCTCGGACGCACGCATGTGTCCATGTCGCAGGATTCCTTTGCGTCGTCGATGCCCCGTGGCGACTACCAGCAATCGATTGGCTTTGCTAACGCCCTCAGCCAGTCCATCATCCGCGACGAGGACCTCAACGGCGACGAGACGGCACCCTCTATTATCAGCAGCGACTGCACCTCGACGCAGCTGCTCGAAGACGAATCGCTAGAGCTGTCCGGGCCACCCTGGATCAAGGAGGGCATGGTGGTGCACAAGCACCACCTGGATGGGGTCGGCAAGCGCGCCAAGGACCGCAACTGGTCCGAGGTCTTTGCCGTGGTGCAAAAGGGTCAGCTGAGCATGTTTTCTTTTAATCTCAGCAAGTCGTCGCGCCACAAGGCGCGGCCGCGGACAGCAGCAGCGCCCGTCGTCGGCGGCGGCAACTGGCAGGACAATGCCGTCAATGTCGGCACGTTCAACCTGCGCCTGACGCTGGCCTCGGCGCTGCCATCCCCGGGTTACTCGCGCACGCGGCCGTACGTGTGGGCGCTCAGCCTGCCGACCGGCGCCGTCCACTTGTTCCAGGTCGGGACGCCGGAAATTATCCGCGAGTTTGTCCAGACCACCAATTACTGGAGCGCGCGCCTCAGCTCGCACCCGCTGGTCGGCGGCATCAGCAACGTCGAGTACGGCTGGAGCGAGGCCATTGTGAATAACTCGCTCGTGGCGGCCATCAACGAATCGACCTCGCCGCCGACGACGGCGAGCGGCCACTCGCGCAAGGGCAGCAGTCAGAGCACCGGCAAGCCGACAAGCACCTTTGACCACGGCAAGCTCGCCGGGGACCGCGTGCACATTGCGCCGTGGTCGCCACCGACGCAGAGCCCACGGCCGAGCGCCCTGTCCGAGGCGGAGCAGCGCGCGGCACTCGTTGCGTACGTGCGCAGCATCGAGACGGACCTGCAAGCGCACAACCAGCTGCGCAGCCCGATGCTGCTGGCGTTTACCCCGCGCGGCACCAACGCGGCCAAGGCCATGACCAACTGGGAGCGCAAGAGCTCGTACCTTCTCCGGGAGATTGTCAAGTTTCGTACCTATGTAGATGGGCTGCAGCATGCGGAGATCCGTCGCCGGGAAGTTTACAAGGAGCGCGAGCTGGCGCAGCGGGCGGCCCGTGGGGATCTGAGCGAGGATGATGATGAGGATGTGGAGGAGGAGGATGGCGAGGTTGAGGAGGAAGCTAATGATACTCTACGACCGCAGTAAAAATGGCGAGGCCAAGGCCTGTGCCTCTTTTCGCTTCATAATTTAATTTGATGCTCGACCTGCTTTTGTTAAAGCACGGCCGACAGGTGGGATTTTTGTTCTTCTTTCTGGGGGGGGGGGTTCCATTCTAGACTTCTTTTTGCCAACAAAGATGGGAAGAGAAAAAGGGTCTTGTGTATTAACATTTTTTCTACGCATTGAATGGCGATACATTCTTGCTTCTTGGTCGAACGGTGGAAGTATTGGGTTTTAGTTAAAAAAGCACACAATCGGACGAGGGAAAAAGCAACTGGATCGGGAGGGGGCTTTTTTCCCCCTCTTTATAGGAAGAGCTATATTTCTTAGCGTTCCGGGTTGTCTGGATGGCACCTTCAATGATGATGAATTTTTTTTTTCTGGATTGAGGTTGGGAAATCCGTTCTGAGGTGCGGGATAGTGCGTGATGCTGGCTGTTGGGTGGTCTCGCACAACGAATACTTCTCTCACCCAGATGATTGATTGTAGACGTAAATGAAAGCCGATGAAGCTAGTGATACTGTAGACAAGCACGTTCCATATATTCAAAATCACTTGTCGTAGTACCCCATCACCTTTTTGATCTTGCTAGAATCCTCACTCTTTTCCACCGTGTTCCAGAACTCGCCTCTGCTTGCCAACAACTGCCGCGGTGTTCCACCCCAACATCGGATGGGATGGAGCGTTTCTGGACAATGTTTTCACGAGACGTCCAATGTGCCAGCCACCACGAATTGCTCGTACAAAGAAAGCGACAGCACAGCACAATAGGAATAGCCAAGATGTAACCCCTCACGCTCCTGGTTTTCTCTGCATACGTACGGAGAATGGTCCAGTAATCGGGGGGCTCGACGTGCTGCGTTGCAGACGCGGCTTGGTACGGCTCGGCAGCCGCAGATGGGTTGACCTTTTCAGTCCTCCATTCTAGCTTCTGTCGTTTGCTTCGTCCAGAGATTTCGGACAGTCTCTTCTCAGCTGGCGTATGCTCTGCCACAGCTGACCCGTTCTGTATCGAGACGACGCAAGAGGAGAGCCTGGAGCAGTACTCTGGGTGGTGCGTAGCCAGAATCATGCTTCTCCCGCACAAGAGATCTCCGTTGAGTGTATTGTCATGATCGGCTCGGGTGAACCTAGACCATGATGTAAGCCGCGGCGGCGTACACTACATGGTGGTAACAAGGAAATCCTGCCAGAATTTACAGCTACTTTGAAGAGAACTCATCGATACCCCTTGTGTCCAATTTTACATCTTTGGTTTGTCGTCGTGACAAAGTGCTGGAAGTGGTTGGCTGCTCTGATGGCAATACCTATGTACCGAGTACTTGCTATACATAGACTTCTCAGTGTAGGAACAAGTACTCAGTACTCAGTACTCAGAGGTACTCGTTCTCTCAAGTTCCTCGGTGCAGCAAACAGCAGCGTTTCTCGTTTTTTGCTTGCCAAAACAACCTCCAAATCTGCGCTTCACCACGCTCCTCATCCGTCGAAAGTGGACGGCAACGCAATCAACACTGCTAGTCGAACGATCAATATGGCCCATCATCTGCGCCACACCATCATTCTACCCGCCGCAACGCCGTGTTTTGTTCCCAGCAGCCTGGCCACCGTCGAGGCCACTGACAGAGTTCAACGCGCCAGCCCTCGACGCCATGGCTGCTCGAAACGCGGGCAAAGATGCAAAGTGTGATTGATCAACTTGGCCATTTACCCATCATCGACGCGCGCGACCAGAACTCACAACATACCAGCCCCCATCTCCATGCCGCCCTCCACCAACTTCCTCAACTCACCCTTATTTCGGCCGAAATCTACATCGCCATGTAGCGAAGCACAAATTGTCCCAAGTGTCTCGGTTCCTCGGCTGAATGCGCCAGATGTGGTATTTGTCGCTGCAACCTGGCCCGCTACTACACAAGTTGCGTTGAGAGACGGGATGCCAGCTGGACAAGTTGCCCACTCCATGGACCGTACAAATCTTCATTCCTGGCGTGGCAAAGGACCCTTTGATTAGCTTTCGGGGGGTTCCGATGGATAGAGAGTTTCAGCCGATGGGACATCTGACTTGCCTATTCAGGAAGGCCAGCTGGAAAGAGGCCGAAACAACACCAGCAGTCTTGGCCGATGGATGGCGGGCCAATCCTTTCGCTCGACGCCAACCCGCTAGTTTCCCTTCTTCAAGCCCTTGATCTGAGCGGCCCCCCAGATACTCCCGCATTTTAATCAAATCGGAACCATTGGTTGGCTAAGCAGGCACGTCCTCTCTTCTAGCAACTAGCAGAAGGACGTTCGATGCGATTTCTCAGCTTTGCTCCCCCGAGAGTTCAAGCTAGCGGGGCAAGCCCGCGTGATATCCAATTGTGCAAAAACGTGTTGAGCCGCGTCGGTCTAGCTTTCGGCAACGGCGCTTTCTTGGTTTTTTTTTTTTTGGACAAGCGATACACACAGCCTAGCATCGGCCGAATTTGACTGTTCCCCCAAGAGTAAGTAAGACTGGTGGAGCAAGCGTTACCCTCAACGTCCCGCCGCTTGAGAGATCGGCCATGATGAGGTCGTAGCAGCTCGCAACACGGGTGGTGATTAGCGCTTTTGGAATGCTTGGCCGACTATAATAAGTAGCGAGGGCCCTCGCGGGTCGTCTACTAAAGTGTCTAGGGAAACTGCTATAGACTTTCTGTCCTTCCTTCACCCTCTTCCTCTCGCGGCATCCAAACGGCCCCCCGGACTTTCAAGATGCGTATCACTAGCCTCCTCGCCGCCGCCACCATCGCCCTCGCGGCGCCTGTCCCTGAGCCAGTACGACCCCTCTCCCCTTGACCGCTTGCGCCAGCCACCATCTAATCAAATTTTACCAAAAATATAGCCCGGTGTTCCTAGCACTAGCACTGCGCAGAGCGACCTTAGCAGCCTCCAGGTCGCCGCCTCGGGCAGTGGCGATGGTTACTCGCGCGCCGAGTTCCCTCACTGGGTCAAAGTTGAGAGCAGCTGCGACGCTCGGTATGACAATGTCACCCCATGACGCGCAATACCACGTTTTTTTGCCGTTGTGGTTCTGTGTCATCCCTCCAGCTAACGGTCCTTTTCTTACCTGGTTGTAGCGAATACGTCCTGAAGCGTGACGGCCAGGGCGTCGAGGCAGACTCGACTTGCAAGATTACCGCTGGCACCTGGTTCAGCCCCTACGATGGGACTACCTGGACCAACAGCAGCCTGGTCGATATTGACCACATGGTGCCCCTCCAGAATGCCTGGATTGTACGTACCCCGTTTCTTGTTTGCCTCTTGTCCACTGGTGTTCTGCCGTGCGAGGCCATATCTAGTTGCTAACATGTATCCGCAAAAAGTCGGGTGCCGCGAGCTGGACCAAGGCGCAGCGTCAGGACTTTGCAAACGACATCAAGCGTCCGCAGCTCTATGCCGTCAGCGCAAAGGCCAACCGCTCCAAGGGCGACCGCAGCCCCGACGGATGGAAGCCGCCGCTGACGAGCTTCTACTGCACCTACGCCAAGTCCTGGGTCGCCGTCAAAAGCTACTACAAGTTGACCATTACCTCGGCCGAAAAGTCTGCGCTGAGCGACATGCTCGACACTTGCTGAGGTGTTGTATCGACACCTTCTGAAGCGTTGTACCTCTCCTGGGAGACGAAAATGGATCGCATCGAGACGAAATGGTGTTGCTTCGAGACCAAGGGGTCAGTTCTGCAGTCAGCAATTGTCAACGAGTATATAGCACGGCAGATCAAACAATTGTAAATTGGTACCACCGAAATCGCGCCATCCCTATTTGCTCCCTCAAGATGTACCGTTGTGCAAGATGCGCGTTGATCCGGCCTTACCCTGTTTCAAAGTGAAGCTTGCCTATGCTTTGGTCTTGCACATGGACAGGCACAGGCCTTGGCATGGCAACATTGTACACCGTTTGCGTTTTGAAGTGATTCAGGTGGAAAGTGCTACCACTTGCTACTGCCTTGTTTCCTCGGTTTCCCGATTCATCATATATTCTCAGCAGGCCCGGCGAAGCCAAAAAAAAAAAACATGCATCTAACTTGATAATCGCTCTTCTCAAAAAACAAAACAACAAAAACTTCGTTCATCATGCTAGCTTACGTTTTGGGCCTTGCCGTGGCCTGCCATGCCTTGCCGTCGTATGGCGGTCTCCGAGACCCAGCCAATTGCAATCCGCTTGCCAAAGATTCGCGTACCAATCTCCTTCGTTCCCAACGCCATGTTCAATACTAACAATATTGGCATTTGCAGACTGCCCTCCTGATGTGGCCTTTGCGGGAAAAAGGTCGTTTGACTTTGATGGTGCGAGCTACAACCAAGACTTTGAAAAGTTTTGGATCGTCGACGACCAGACCAAGCAGGACCGAGACCGCCTCAAGTTTGGCGACGGCAATGGCCTGGCCGTCAGCATGACGGAGCAGAAGCAGGCGCCGACTCTGACTAGCCACGATTACCTCTTCTTCGGCAAGGTGACGGTGCGAGCCAAAGCTGCCAGAGGACCTGGCCTCGTCACCACCATTGTTCTCAAGTCAGACTCTGGCGATGAGATTGACTGGGTACGTTTTGGTAGAGTCTTTCCGCTTCGGTCTGCTAACTTGCCGTAGGAGCTGCTCGGCGCGTTCCAGAACCAGGCACAGTCCAACTACTACTACAACGGCCAGCCCGTCTTCAACACGTACAACACCACCTACGCCCTGTCCTCGTCGGCCTACGATGACTTCCACGACTACACGGTCGAGTGGACGGACAAGTCTCTCCAGTTCTCCATTGACGGTGCCCTGCGCCAGACCTGGCAGCCAGGCGGCATCCCTGCCGACAAGTGGCCGCAGACACCGATGCGCGTGCAGCTCGGCATCTGGGCTGTGGCGGAAAACGCCGACCCCGGCGAGATTTCCTGGGCCGGCGGCGTGCCCGACTGGTCCCAGAAGCCGTTTACGGCCGCCTTCCACTCGCTCGAGGTGGACGACTACCAGGGCTGGTGCGAGGAGAAGACCGAGGACGGCGACGGCCGCGTCGAGTACCAGTACGACGGCGGGATGAAGGGGTGGGCGGATGTGCGGGTCGCGGGGTGCCGCAAGAGGCGTGACGGGGCCGCCACGGCGCCGTCGCCGTCAGGTACGTCGTCATCCGCTTCCACCAGTGCGTCTGCCACGGAGACGGCCCATGCTGAGCCCACGGACAAAGATGGCGATAAAAAGGGCGACGGCTCGGATGATAGCGAGGGATCCGGTGCGGTGATGGCGCCGTCTGCTTCTTTGGCATTCATGGTATCCCTCGGGGGGTTGCTATTCTTTTGGTAAAGATTCTGTCATGGTTGCGATGGTGCCTTTGGAGGGATTAATAGGGCATGTACTTGGTGCCATTTGAGATTATAATAGGAATAATGTTGCGCAAGTCAAATACGTAAGAGCCAACATTGCCCATTGACACGTCCTGGCTATCTAGGTACCTACCTACAAGTCGTGTGGTCTGCCAACGCTCCTTCCTTAGTAAGCCATCCAGGGCCATGGCCCCTTTCAGCATGTCCGTCACCAACATCCCAATCCCCCCTCGCGTATTCACCATGACGACCCGCGACCTCTTGTCCGGCCCTATTACTCTCTCCGCGGCCAAGTTGAAAAGTAGCAACGTGCTCCATGCTCTGCGCTTTCCCCTGCAGAAGCGCGAATTTTACGCGCGCATTGAGCGCCAGCGCCACCTCCTCTCCCGCCTCGTGGCGCACCATCTCAACACCGACCTGGCCAGCGTGACTATTTCCGGGCAAGAGTACTGGTGCCATGGGTCGTTTAATTTGTGCGTACCGGCGCTCGTCGACAATGCTTCCGCGCCCCGGTACGTCATGGTCCGCTTCCCGCTGCCGTATCGCGTCGGAGAGGCGACGTACCCGGGGAACGCAGATGAAAAGATTCGGACAGAGGCGGCGACGTACGCGTGGATTCACCAAAACTGCCCAGATGTGCCCATACCGCAAATCTACGGCTTTGGGCTGTCTACGAAGCAGCAGGCAAGTCTGCGCATCCAACTGCATGTCTAGATTTGCGAGGCGGGTCGAGGCGTACCACCCACCCGGCTAGTTACGCAACTTCTGACCTTTTTTTTTTGTTTTTTAGTTTACACATGTAAATCATCTGCCATGGTGGTCGCGCTGGTTCCAACATGCCCGGAGCTTTGTCCTGGCTGCTCTCCGCCTCGAGCAGCCATCGCAGCTCGTGCCGCACCGCTCAACTTTTCTCGCCGACCTAGACGTTGGCTACCTGCTCATCCAGACCATAGACTCCGGGACCATGCTTTCGGAATCGTGGGACGACAAGTATCAGGACGCTCGTCTCCAATATAACCTCCAGCGAGATGTTGCGCGGGTCATGCTTTCCCTCGCCCGCGCTCCGCTCCCTTGTGTAGGAACGTTTCGCGTTGACAATCGCGGCTATCTGCGGCTAGACAACCGACCCCTGAGTATTCAATCTACCATTCAGGAGAACGAGGGTATCCCCGTCGACACCCACAGACGCCAAATATTTACCAGCGTCAAGGACTTTGTCCTACACCATGTAGACGCCTTTAGCAACCGCCTGCTGCATCAGCCAAACGGCATCGACAGCCGTGGTGACGCTTGCTACCAAATGGCGAGTCTCGCAGGCGCTGCCGCTTTGTTTCCGCAGCTGTTTCGGCGCGACCTGAACAATGGTCCGTTTGTCTTTGCCCTGACCGATCTGCACAGGAGCAACATCATCGTCGACGAGGAGTGGAACATTGCGTGCATTATCGACCTCGAGTTTGCCTGTTCGTGGCCGGTTGAGTTTGTGCAGCCGCCGTTCTGGCTGGGCGGCGAGGCCATGGACGAGGTGACTCGCACGTCATTTGCGGCACAGCATGCGGGATTCGTCGAGCATGTCGAGCGGGAGGAGGCGCTCTTATTAGCCGGCGCGACGAGGGGCGGTCGGGAGCCGCTCTCGGCGATTATGCGACAAGGATGGACCCTGGGCACCTTTTGGGTCACCCTGGCCGTCATGCACCCAATTGCCTTTACCGAAATCTTCTACGACCGCATATTGTGCGACTTGATGGGGGTCTCGCAAGAAGAATTGGACAAGGTGGACCACACATTCTTTGCCCGTTTCTGGCGCAGAGACATGGACTGCATCATTGACGAGAAGCTGAGGGACTGTGACGGATATAACGCGCAGCTCGATTTGCTCTTTTCTGACAAGACTAATCCGTAACTCGAGTAACATTGCTTCTAGCCTTGGCACATGACAAGGACCGTTTATTTTGGTCCTGGCCAGAAGGTAGATTATTAGTAAGATGATGCTTGATTCAAGTTGCTGCAGCCGGTTAGCAGCCGGCACTTGCACCTTTCCCTTGGCCAACAACCTGTGTTGTGCACCATGTGCGGCTGGCGATGCTACACCCAATGTGGCAGTTGGCGCTCAATGTCTGTGCAAACTAAAACCGCATGTCCCCACTCACAGAGCGGAAAATAAGGTGAGTCGCAGAAGAAGCTTCTAATATTGTTTCCGCTTTACCGCTTATCGTTGTGGATTGCGCCAACGATTTGATCTGATTACATCCGTCTGCCCCGAAGAGGCAAGGTTCACTAACAGGCCAATAAAACGGCCACGACCAACTGTGCAGCATAAAAGCGAACGTCCCGCCCGCCTATTCAATAAAGCAATTTTTTTGAAAGCACTTCTTTGGTCATTCTTTTCTCCCTCGGACTTGGTCAGTTTCAGTGTTTCCTGGCGAGCTTCATCACTGCGGCTTCTGCCAACACGGACTCACCTGCCTGCGCACCCCCCAAAATGAAGAACCCCAGGCCGGAACATGTCGTGTTTGACCACGAACTCGCCGGCATAGACACAGAGAAGCTCGGTAGACAGCGTCCAGCCGCGTTTGCTACGATATGGCATGAGCTGTGCTTTGCCGTGTCCCTCCTCGGATCCATGGCCATGTCGGTGCGTGTCACCGCCGCCGCATGACAACCCCCTCCAACTTTCTTGCCAAGAGCTAACCCGCAGAAACAAAAGGAATACTTCATCTCCGGCTTCCACATTGTCCTGCCGCTCCTCTCCGCCGAGCTGCGCATCGCCCCCGCCGCGCAGACCTGGCCGTCGAGCGTCTTCACGCTCGCCGCCGCCGCGTGCCTGCTGCCGCTCGGCCGTGTGAGCGACATGCACGGCGCGTATGCCGTCTTCAACGGCGGCCTGGCTTGGGTTTGTCTGTGGGCGCTTGCCGCCGGCTTCGCCCGAAACTACGTCGCGCTCGTCGTCTGCCGCGCCATGACGGGCGTCGGCGCCGCCGCGTTCCTGCCCGCCGGCATCACGCTCATTGGCAAGATATACCGGCCCGGGCCGCGCAAGAATCTCGTCTTTGCCGTGTACGGCGCATTTGCGCCACTGGGCTTCTTTCTCGGCATCGTCGTCGGCGGCGTCACCGGCCAGTTTTTGTCCTGGCGCTGGTATTTCTGGATCGGCACGGTCGCGGTGCTCGGCCTCTGCGTCGCTGGCGTCTGTTCAGTGCCGCGCGACTTTACCCGGCGCGCGCCCGGCGGGCTCGCTATGGACTGGCTGGGCGTCGGCACCATTGTTCCGGGCCTCGTCCTGCTCGTGTACGGCATCACGGACAGCGCGCAGGCGCCGGGCGGCTGGTCCAGCGCGCAGATCCTGGCCACCGTCGGCGCGGGCGTGTGCTTCCTCGCCGCGGCCGTCTACGTCGAGGGCTGGGTGGCGGCCGACCCGCTGCTGCCGTCGGACCTCTTCGCGCCGCCGTACATGAAGCGGCTCGTCGCCGGGCTGCTCTTGGCGTACGGCGCGTTTGGCGTGTTTCTCTTCTACAGCAGCTTCCACCTGGAGCTTGTGCTCGGCAAGACGCCGCTGCAGACGGCCGTCTGGTACATCCCCATGATCAGCTGCGGCCTCGTGCTCGGCGCCGTCGGCGGGCTGACGCTGCACCTGCTGCCCGGCCGCGCGCTGCTGGTCCTGTCGGGCCTCGGCTTCGTCGTCGCCTGCCTGCTGTTCGCCCTCCTGCCCGAGCGGCCAAACTACTGGGCGTGGGTGATGCCGGCCATGATTGCCGCGTCCGTCGGCATCGACATTGCCTTTACCGTGAGCAACATCTTCATCACGACGAACCTGCCGGCCCGCCGCCAGGGGCTGGCCGGCGCGCTCATCAACAGCACCCTGTTCCTGGGCATCAGCGTCTTTCTCGGCTTCGGCAATGTGGCCGTGGCGCACACTTCGCACCTCTCGCTGAGGGAGAACTACCAGGTCGCGTTTTGGTTTGCGGTTGGGGTGGCGGGAGTGGCGTTGTGTATATTTGCTACCATCGACATTGGGGCAGCCAAGAGCGAGTTGACGGTCGAGGAGCGAGAGCAGATGGAATCTGAACAGGTTCAGTCTAGGGAGACTTGACCATGTACATCAACGAGAACGTATCAAGAAAGCGTCAACATTGGTCTTCAAGCTTGTTGGTTGATGCCATCAATGACCGCTTTCTTCAATCTCGCCCCTCCTCCGCCTTTTGAGCCGACACACCGCAAACACAGCCTGCAGAAGCTCAGAGCAAACGCCATGGGGGTGCGCATATCATTCCGAAACCATGACGGTATTTTTCCTTCCAGCTCGCCTCTTCCTTCTTCTCCCACTTCCTTCTCCTTTCCTCCACATTACCGCCCACTGCGCCAGCCATGGATCGCCAACTGATAAGGCGTGTGCCGCCCGAGCTGCGCGCCATCATCTGCCAATCGCTCGCCTTCCGAGACCTCTTTAATCTGGCGCGGTCCTACCGAGACATGCACGCCATTGCGACCGAGGCCTTGTTTCGGCAAGATGCCGCCACGCGCAACTCGTCGGCCATTCTCTGGGCGGCCGGCGCCAGCGGCGTCTCCGAGTACGCCGACCTGGCCATGTTGGTTCTGCGACAGAGCATCTGGTATGGCGGCCAGGTCAACGCTCGTCATGTCATATGCGATGCGGTCTGCACCGCGATTCACGTCGCCGTCGCGCATGGCAGTCTGCGGTTCGTCAAGGAACTTATCCGCCTCGACGCAGAGACCAACAACACATTTAGCCTGCGGCTGTGGCGGTTTTTAAACGTCAGGCGCTACAGGGATGATCTCGACATCGGACTGCGGCTAAAGGAGTTTTCCAAAAGAGCCAGGATACAGGGAAAGTGCTGGGCATTGCTGCTGCCCGCCATGGTTCGAGGAGACTGGCAAATCGTTTCCCTGCTGCTCGGCCGCAACTGCTCTTGCTACCTCGCCATCCACCACAAATACCTCTTTGTGCCCCCGCTTAAAGAGGCCCCGACTATATACACTGCCTACACCATTCACCATTTCCTTGTCGAAGAAGGCACATTCCCCGCGTTTCACCAGATGCTATTTGAGAGATTCAGCCACGAGATTGCGCTCCCGGGTTCAGCCTCAGCAATGCCCCCTCTGATGAGGGCCGTTGAAAAAGGTAATGAGGCGGCTGCGGCAATGCTCCTTACGTTGCCACAGGATCTCAACGTCACCTCCTCTCTTGGATGGCCGGTACTCTCCTACGCGATCGAAGTGGCTGCGACGCTGTTAACGCCCAAGATGAGAGACTGGGGCGCGTCAATGGTCAGACTGCTCCTCGAGAAGGGTGCCGGCGCCAATGTAGGGGCACCCTCCTCCCCGCTCCAACTGGCCGTCACTTCGCTCATAGATGACAAGATTGTCGAAGACACCAAGCACCCAAGACGAATGTGCAACATGATTGAGGACCTACTGGACTTTGGGGCCGATGTCAATGTGCTGATGGCAGACGGCCACAGCCTCAGTCAGCACCTCTTTCTCCAGGCGCAAAAGGAAAACGACCACAGGCACCTTCGCGGCTTGCTTGTCAACTTTTTGGACCATGGAACGCGCGTCAACGACTGGTTCCCAGACGGGACTTCTATGCTTGCCAAGGCCATTGCACCTACCAGTACCATGGGAAAACCGCTCATCGTGAGGCTGCTGTACCATGGCGCTCGCCCTGCGCCGCACGAGTACGACGGAATCCTGCACCGCTGGCTGCGCAAGGACAAGACGCTCCCCAAGCCGATCGAGGACGGTCTCGCGTCGCTGGCGCCGGGGTTCTCACAGCCCGCGATTGACCGCGCCTTTGCGGACATTGTCTGGCGCAAGGACGCCAAGCAGTTTGACACCCTGAAGCAGTGGCACGAAACCAGCACGCCGAGCAGTCTACTAGCCAAGGCGGTCGGGAACCGCTTCGCCCGCCTGTCGGAGCTCTACGCGCTGCCGTTTAACCCAAACTGGCAGAGCGCCGGCGGCCAGAGCTACGCGCACCTGGTCGTCGAGGCCCTCAGCAACGAGGTCTATAATGAGCGCCAGGCACTGGAAGAAATGCAGCGTCTCATTGCTCGGGGTGTCCGCGTGAGCTGGCGAGACGCGGACGGCAAGACTGTCTTGCAGCGTCTGACGGCGGTGCGGGAGACGTCTCTTGATGAGGATCCGTTTGGCAAGTTGCAGAAACTGTTGATGCATGCTCGGTTGGTGGAGCAAGGTGATGAGATTTGAGAAGTTTTTGGCCAAACAGGTCGGACAAGTCTAGGTCGAACGATGTTGCTTCCAGCGTTGGCTTTTGCTCTAGAGACTTTCGGGAGATTTAGTAGTATATCGAACCAGGACTAGAGGAATAGAGTAATGTATTTTATATTTTTATACTCTCGCGGCTTCTTTTTGTAAACCATCCCTGTAAATGACGCTGAAACAGCCTCAGTATTGGAGATCCATGTAATCAAGTGGTAGCTATACGGAGTAGACGTGCTCGAACCATCTTCCTTATTCATTTTCCGTCTCGTCTAATCTACTCAATTCCTCCTGTCCAAACCATGGCGGGGAGAATATCAGTGACTGGCAGTACATTGTGTCAACCCGGTGCCAGAGATCTCACTCGTCATACTCGTCAATGACACTCTTTGGCTCGACAAACGTCCCCAGCGGCTGATACTTCAGATGATGAATGCCAAACCCCGCCGGTCCGCCGAGCTCAATCCCCCGTGCACTCGTTGTCCACTTGTCGTTGGCCGCGAGCCCCAAGACAATCACCAGCAGCCCGTACCTGTACTCGGGCGTGCCAACCGCCTCGCCGTTCTGCGCGTCAATCACGGTAATCAGATCCGGCACGATGCCCAGCACGTCCTCCTGCCGCTCCGTCTGCTGCTGCTGCGGCCCCTCGCGCAGCCTCCACACGGCAATATTCTCATTTTTGAACGGAATCTTGACTCGTCCGGAAAACCCACCAGCGGCGCCGCCGGCGCCGCCGTCGACCCGGACGTCGGCGCCTTCTACGATGCACTCGCCGTAGGCGTAGCCGCCGCGCAGCATCCGCTCCACGGCGACAATCTTGCCCTTGAACAGGACGCGTCCGGCCTGCGGGCCGCCGCACTCCGCCAGGATGGCCTCGGCGACGCTGTCCACGCGGTGCTCCTGGCGCGCGCGCACGACGGCCCGGCCGATGCGCCAGGCTTGCGAGATGGTGTGCTGGACGATCCAGCGCTTCGTCTCGGCGCCGGTGACGGGCGCGTCCGCGGTGGCCGTGTGCGAGCCCATCTGGCTCAGCGCCGCGCGCAGGACCTTTTCCACCATGACGTCGGACGTGGTCCGCGCCATGACCAGCACGTTGCCGTTGCCGTCGGCCATGGCCGTCGGCGACCAGATGGGCGAGCGTTCGTTGAAGACGACGGGCGTCGTCTGCCACTGCGTCGGGTAGGCGCGACCCATCCAGTCGCCGTCGAGCGCGGCGAGGTTCATGTTGGTCGTGGAGCCCAGGATCATGCTCTGCAGGCCGTTGCTGCCGCCAATCTCGACCGATACGACGTGGGTGATTTGCTGGCGGCACACCTTGGCCAGCTCCTGCTGCGCGTCCAGGAGCTCGTTTCCGGCGAGCTTCTCGATGCCGACCGTGGGGCTGCCCACGCCGCCGCCGCCGCCGACGCTGTCGTCGTCTTGCAGGTCTTTGGGGCTGACGACCCTGACAACGGCGCCTCGGCGGAGATCCTCGCGCAGACGAATCATGCTGGAGTAGGGCGAGCCGCCGCCGCCGGTGCCCAGGATATAGCAGCCAATGGAGATCCAGTCCACGTCTGTTTCGGAAATGTACCACGTACGCGCTCGGACCTGTGGTTTATACGCCGAAATGTTGACTTGTGAGGCGTGATTTGCGGGGTTGTGGCGAGTTGCGCTACGCTCTCGTTCCGAAAAGGCTTCATTCTCGGGTTCGGCGTCGGCCTCCTCGTCAAGGCTACTAGTGACAGGCTTGGAAAAGTCAAAGTCGCCGGCGGCCCTAATGATGAAGCGTGTTTTGTGATTGATGTACTGTAAATACTTAGCACCTCACATGTTATAGAATGGCAGACAGACTCACCTGTAAAGGGAATGACTCCATTTCAACAATCTCAGCAGACTCGGCGGAAGCGCCCGCTGCGATGGTCTTTCTGATGGCGTCCTGGCCGATTTCATGCAACCACTCAGTTGCCGATTTGGATTCTGTCGACTTGACTACATCTATCACGGCGCTCACACGGGCCATTGCTGCGCCAATGGCATTGGCGACCTCTGCCCACCTTGGCTTGATGACCTTGCTGGCTCCTTTCAGAGAGTCGGGCGCGATGATGGCACCTCCACCTACCAGGAAAACCGGAACGTCCTCGGGAGATGTCTTCATCTTGTCAATGACGCGCTCTAGTTTCTCTTTGATGGTATTTTGAATTGTCTCAAGCTGCGATTGTGAAATTAGGTTCTCAACCAGTTTGCGGTCTCCAAGCTGGAGCTGTGCGTTTGACAGCACTGTGCAATCGGTCGCGGTCAGAGTGCTGCCACCGAATGCGATGGCATCTTTTGTCAGGTTGTATCCTACACTGTCCGGTCCAACCGAGACTGGGTCTTTGCGCACGACTGATCCCCCCCCGAGACCAATGCTTTTGATGTCTGGACACGGAAAGTTCATTCGTATCCCAGCAAGTTCACTGTACGCCGCCTGCTGTCTGGGAAATCCATTCATCTGCAAAAGGCCGACGTCTGTAGTAGTGCCTCCAATGTCGACAACCATTGCGGCCGTTTCGAGTTGCCCGTGGGCCAAAAACGCGGCGCCTCGCATACTGTTTGTTGGGCCGCTGGAGAATGTGCGAATCGGGAAGCGAGCTGCTGCCTGTCCTGATAGGACTGTTCCATCGTTTTGAGTAATAAACACTGGGCATTTCATCCCTAGTTTCTTGACTGGTCTTTGGAATGCCATGATGGTGTGTCTAGCAAATTTCAGAATGGAAGCATTGAGTATGGCAGCATTCTCGCGCTCTAGGAAGCCCAGATTTGCAATGTCTTTGGAGCAGACAACGTCACAGCCAGGCACTGCCTTGCGAATAATTTCAGCCGCCCGTTCTTCTTGCCTTTGGACGGTATCAATTGGACTAAAGACGCCATTGATAACAACAGATCCGAGGCCCTTTTCTTTGATAATCCGGCCTTGCTCTTCAATCTCGGCCTCGGATATGTCGGAGATGAGGTCCCCGTCAATCTCTAAGCCGCCTTTGAGGAGTGCATAGTGGCCGAGAATAAGATCACGCATGTCGGCGGGCCAGTCCACGCAGGGCGGCACAAATTTGGAAAACGGGCCGCAGAGGCGGAGGACAGCCACTTTGGACAGACGAGAAGCATCACGCTCGACAACGGCATTGACAAAATGGGTGGTTCCAATGGTCACGCTGGCGACAGACAAAGGTTCGATATTTGCAGACTTGAACATGGCTGTGATGGCTTCTCCGATGCCATGACTAGGCTCTGGGGTAGTTGGGGCTTTGTGCCACGCGATGATTCCGCGGTTCTCAGAATGCAGCTGGGTTGGGTCGACGATGACGCCGTCCGTATTAGTCCCGCCAACATCGACACCAATGCGGAGGCTGGCTGCGGAGGCGGCCGGGTGAGCCATATTGTTCTTTGTGAAATATCCCCTGATGGTAGTTCTGATGCCGGCGGGGGCGAGCTTTTCGGGGGAGAAGTCGAGGGTAGATCTGATAGGCGAGGATGCATCGTGCAAGTTTCCCATGTGCCATGTGGGTGACAACGCGCCACCATAGCATACCAAGGTGGAATACAGGACAATGAATATTGGCCGCATTGTATATACCGTAAATTATTAAAATTATTATAGTATAATTACATACAGTTTTACCATTTTTCTTTTCCGGATATCTACAATAGCGAATAGCACTGACCTCTTTTTTTTATACAAAGCCTGATGTTCGAAATGCGGGGTTTCAGGGCGGTTCAAGGCCTCTTGCCCGCAGAAACTGAGCGCGGATCATTCACGGATGTCATTATCGGTGAATTTGTATAATTTTGTCTCGATTTGGGACATGTGAAGCTTGATCTATTGGGAACTACATGATACGCATGACTAGCCAACCAGTCAAGAAACTAGGGATGAAATGCCCAGTGTTTATTAACTAGAGCACATCAAAGCCGCGTTGCCAAAGGGGCTACTCGAGCTATCCGACGCCATTTTGACTTGTGAGAGCTGATATTTTCCTTGTGACACATCGACATCAATCCAAGCGCGTGCATTTCGTCATGTGTACCCGAGCCGGACCAGAAGTACACGTAAGTGGTGGTGTAAGTCCGGGTCGGGGGGCCAGCCGTGGCGGCGTCTAAGAATGGTACACCGTCCGTAGACTATCATGTGCAAATTATTGAACTTGGCAGGTTCAGCCTCTTATGCGCTGAAGCTCGCTCCAACAATTCATACCCATCAGTCTATACACAGCTAGCCAGGCGGGCACACAGTTAGGATGGACTAGGCGTAGTTGGTGACGCAATGCCTTGTCATGAAGCATAGTACGATGGAACTGTAAATTCGTCTGCGCAGCAGAGACAAGTCAAAAAAATAAAATAAAAATAGGTTCACGACGGTATCTTCTGCCATTTCAATTGATTTACCCATACTATCGGTCCTTTCCCCTTCTTGTCCTCTTTGTCTTCTTTGTCGGCAGTCGCCATGCCCTGTAAGGCCAGGCGGAAGCAGCGCCACACGCGCCACGTACGCCACGCCACCAGCTACAACGGCCAAAACGTTTCGGCGCTTCGCTCAACGGGAAGCTTACGCCTCGCATCTACCACTTTCTATCCAACACTTCCACAAGGCTGCGTCAGCACAGCTACATCGCATTGCCACGCTCCGACCTCAGCTTCGTCTCCAGCGGTGTACGCAAGCTGCTTCGCTGTCCCCATCGCATGTGATACCCCCATCGATCTCCCGCTTCGTTCGCTCGCCATCCCGCCCATAGCAACCAAGCTCCAACGAATCATCCTCAACCTCGCGCTCCCGTCTTTTGCTGGCTCACGACGGCGCCTCCAGTACAACTGATACAACTAAGATCGCCAATACCATCCTATTTCAGTGTGGCCGGTTCACGCTCACAGCCTTTAATACCAGATCTCCATAACTAGCTAAACGAGAGCGCAACACTACAACAGAAGCGAATCTCGTCACGACATTACGCACATCGCTGCGGCCGCGAAAGCCCATAGGCGCCACCATGGCACAATTTGACTTGACAGGAGAGGATAGCGCAGGCAGCTACTATGCAGCGCTCCCAGGCACCTCTAGCAACAGCTTGGTCGAACACAATACGACTCCCATGAAGTCCAAGTTCCTCACTTCCAGAAAAGAGGTTACGGGTAAGTATCGAGCCCTCTGCCCTCAAAATTGAATCTAATTTTGTTAGGATGTAACCCGAGTCGCTGGATTTACGAACTCATCAATAATCGCTTCACTGCCTGTGACCTCTTCGATCGAGCCCGAGAACACGAATTCGATAGTCCATACACCTGGGATCACCCTCACAAGCTGGTAATCAACGGCAAGCAAAGTTATTCGACGACCTCTACCCATATTCTTTCATCAGTATGTCTAGACTGCCACTTTCATTTCGTCTTCAAACTGGCTTGGGACGAGGACCAGACGTCGTCGCTTTGCTACCACTCCCAGGCAGCTTGGCCACTGCAGGATAACATGTTTCCATGGCACCACCTTGCCTGGGCAGGCTCTGCTTCACCAGGAAGCATAGCTGACGACCGCTCCAAATACAACCCTATCCTAGCTAGAGAGAACTTTGTCTGCAGTGCCGCACCATGCACATTACAAATGACGCTAGAGATTAGCGAGCCGAGAATGCACAGCGGGTGGGTGAAGCTGCTTCTTGACCAAGAAGCAATCCGTGAGCAACTCGACCTTGCCAAAGAACAAGATCCGGCCAGATACGAAGGAGCCACAGATGCGTGGGCTTACCAAGCACCTCTGAATCTTAATACGTATCTCAAGAATCAATTGGAATCGACTGCCGACACCGTTAGAAGCATATCAAAGCGAAACAAGCGCTTTTCTGTCCTGTTCGGACCACGATGCTTCTCCATCTTTAGAGAACTCGAATACAAAGAAAAGGTGGAGGAAAACGACGGCGTCGACGAAGGATCCTTCACACCACGCGTTGCTGCTCCATCAGATGGCCCTTCAGGTACCACCGAAATGAACACGTATCGAGCATATCTTGAAGATGTCCGGGCGGAGGTTCAATGCCTAATACACAAGGCCGGACAGACTACCGAGCAGCCTACTATCTGCACTCCAATGCTGCACGATGTACTTCAATGTGTCGAGGTCAAGGATGTGGACTCCAATGCTCTGGTTGGGACGGATCGATATAGGCTTCTGGGTGTGTTGCCCACACAAGGCAGAGAAATTGTGGTCAACGCCTACAAACGACAGTGGGACCTCCTGCCGTCGTCTCGAAAGGAGCTTATTGACGCTCTTCTCAATATTGCCAATGATGCTCAAGATGACCCACTAATCGAGTATGCGGTAACGCAGTCATCAGTGTACGAAAGCCAGCCACGACAGCAAGCCATCGCCGACGACAACGGCAGCATTACACAGTCAATGGCGTATTTTGGACTTAACCCTCCCAACAACTACCCAGCCGAGGCCATCATCCGAGCTTTCCGAAAGAAATTGGCTGATGACCCTGCCGACGCCGCCGTCGCCAGAGATGTCCTTATGATGATAGCATCACAGTCTCAGGATGATCACTACCAGGCAGGTCTGCTTATGGAAGCTGACCAAAAGATGTCTCTTGAGACCGCCAAATACGTCATCGGTCTGAGCGACACATTAGATATCGTCGGCGACGCTGGTCTTGCTACCCGACGCAAGCTGCAGCAATGCCAGAAGCCGGAGGCTAGAAAACTTTATTTAGACGCTTTGGACTCTATCGCGGAGCATACAGGCTCGCTCTCTCTCAAGCAAGCAGCCCTGGAGCTCAATCATGAAAGTGAATTCGGTCCTGGGGTTGGCAGCGCGGGCTCTGGCGCTCCTGTCGACTTTTCATTGCCAGTTGGTCTGGACAATATTGGAAATACTTGCTACCTCAACAGCTTGCTGCAATATCTTTTCACCGTCAAGCCTGTGCGGGACGTTGTCCTCGACTACGACGATCTCAAACTCGGTCTGTCCGAAGACGCCATCCAAAACCGCCGCATTGGCGGAAACAAGATGCAGCTGGACAGAGGAGAGGCTGTTGTTGCCGATGCTTGTAAGTGCACATGTCATTGCTTGAAGCAAAAGCTAACATTATCTAGTTGCTCGAGAACTCGCTACATTATTCGAAACTTTACAAAAGTCCGAAAAGACGGCAACCAGACCTTCCCAGCGGTTGGCAAACGCCGTTCTACTGTCAACCCACACGCTCCTTAATAGCGAAAAGTCTAGTGATCGACAAAGTAGTCCTTTGCCTCCACCACTCCCTTCTCGGCCCCCTGCAGAGCTGGTCACCACATCTGGAGTTGGATTGGGGGACGTTGACTTGATTAAATTTGAGAGTCAAGAGACTCTGCCTCTGGATGCGGCTAGCCTATCTAGTACCAAGACTCTAGTGGAGCACGAGGAGGCCGACTCAGAACCTTCATACGAGCGTGTTGAAGAGGTTATGGGGCCTGGTACCAACACTATTACATCTACAACGAAGACCAGCAATGCATATGATGCGGTTATGGTAGATGGTGCCGCGCCGTACGCAGAGCCAAGCGAGAACACCCAAGTTGAGGAGCCAGCGGCAAAACTCGATACAAAGACTAACGATGTCGAGATGCAAGATGCAGAGGCTCCTGAGACCATTGATCAAAAGGTGCTAAATGCACTCGAACGCCAGAAACGGTCTTCGGGCACTGATCAACAGGATGTCGAGGAGGTGATGGGCAGCATCATCAATCGTTTGCAAGCTGCTATTCGACCCAGCTCTATCGATAACAAGACTGGCATTCAACTTGAGAGGTTGATGGAGACCTTCTTCGTTACAACAGTCAACTATACCAAGAAGTTCGACGACGTCAAGTACCAGCATGAAGTCAGCTTCGACAGATCCATCACGGCTTTCCCGGCCGAAAATGGACCTTGCTCGCTGTACGATGCCCTTGGCAAGAACTTTGATCAGCAGATTCTTGAAGAGAGCAAATTATCGCGATATACTACGATCAGGACGTTGCCGCCCATTTTGCATGTGCTGATCCAGCGCACGCAGTCCAACGGAAGCAAGAACGGCAATCCAGTCATCATTCCCGAGACACTATATCTTGATCGATTTATGGATACAGATCACGATTCGCCGGCTTTCCAACGACGCGTGGAAGACTGGGTTACGGCGCAACGCATCGCCGATATCAAGGCGGACCAGACGAAGTTAGAGGCAAACCCGTCGTACTTGAGGTCTCTCGAGAATTATGCAGCACCCGCACCCGTTGCCCTAGGCTTGCCCGAAAGGCAAGACGATGTCCCGGTGGAGGTGGAAACATATGACTTTGATGGCCCGGTAGAAGATGATTTTCTCCTCATTTCCCCCGCCAAGGCAGCCCCCAAACAGGAGGAGACTCCTCCCATTCCCAAGGTCACGGACGTGTACGAGACATACCGCCAAGTCACACAGATGATGGAAGACGAGCTAGCACGCTGCGAAAAGACCATTGCGGCGCATTACGACGCCATGACAGAATTCCCCTACCGTCTCCACGCCGTCATCTGCCACCGTGGCCAGCTCATGTCGGGCCACTACTGGGTCTGGATTCACGACTTTGAGAACAATGTGTGGCGATGGTACAATGACGCTGACGTCAAGGAGAATAAGAATACGGCAGAGGTGCTTCACGCTCTGAGCACCAGCGGCGAGCCGTACTTTTTGTGCTACGTCCGAGACGGGGACAAGGACGAGTACGTCAACGTTCCGAAACGCGAGGAGCCTGCGCCGCGGCCTGTGCAGCTGCAACCAGAACCGGTGCCGGAGCTTGTCACGGAGGCAGACGCCACGCCGGCGGATAGCGTCACGCCGGCGACAGACGAGCTAGGGGAAGAGCCTGCCGGACCTGAAAGGCCCAGGGTTGAGAGTGTTCGGAATCTTGAGCACGGAGGCATGTCTAGGATTATAACGCCGCCGTCCGAACCTGACACGTAGAACCGCATCTCCTGCTGTATGTAGCATTTTTTTGATACATCATCGCTGCGCATTAACGTTATACGCCGCCGGTGTATGGCGTATGATTTCCTTCTACTTGTACAATAGACCATACGGCGCGCGATTCACGCTTCGAGCAGCATACCTTGATCAGCATTAGTCTTTACGCGTACAGCATTCAACGACGAAACACGATACTCATCCAATGCATTTCTTTTTATTTTGCAGTCATTATAGTAATACATTGTTAATCCCCTATGTTACCTTCCTTTAAAGACGGGCTTGCGCTTCTCCTGAAAGGCCTTGAGGGCCTCGTTGCGGTCCTCGGTCGCGACGACACGTTCATACATCTCATTCTCCTTGTCGGGGCGGGCCCACGCGACGGCCTGCAGCGCGGCGCGGATCGCGACCGGCCCGCCCTCGCAAATCTCCTGCGCCAGGCGGACTGCCTCGCTAAGGGCGCCCTTGCGCGCGGCGGCCAGAATATCGGCGGGGCCCGCGTCGCGCTCGTCTTCGTGGACGACCTCGACGAGGCGGTCGGCGAGGCCGAGGAAGTAGGCCTCGGGCGCGGCGACGCGCCGGCCGGTGAGGATGAGGTCGCGGGCGCGGCCGAGCCCGACAAGCCCGGTCAGGCGGTAGGTGCCGCCAGCACCGGGCAGGATGCCGAGGCGCGTCTCGGGCAGCCCGACGGTGGCGTTGGAGGAGAGCACGCGGAAGTGGGTGGCGAGGGCGAGTTCAAGGCCGCCGCCGAGCGCGAGGGAGGAGATGGCGGAGATGCTGGGGACGGGGAGGTCGGCAAGGGCGGCGAATGTAGCGCGGAGGTTGGTGAGGAAGTCATTTGTTCTGGGAGAGGCCAATACGGTTAGTGCTTTACCCGCAAGGAGGAGGAGGGGGGGGCGTACTCTTGCTGGCTGAAGCCGCGACGCTCTTTCAGATCCGCACCCGCGCAAAAGCACGAGTCCACGGCGCTGGCAATGACGAGGGCGCGCGTTGGCCCGCCGTCGGCGGTCGTCGCGGCGGGCAGCTCCTCGCCGGCCGGGCCGTACTGGGCGTGGATGGCGTCGACCTCGGCGCGCAGGGCGGCGAGCAGGCCCTTGGAGATGGCGTTGCGGGCCGAGGGCCGGTTGAGCTCGAGGACGCGAATGTGGCCGGTGGAGCCGGCGGACAGGTTGGCGACGCGGATGAGCGGCTCCGTCTGGGCAGAGTACGGGCGCAGCGAGGCGACGCGGCCGCCGCCGGAAGAGGAGGGTCGGACCAGGAAGCGGATGGTGGCGGCGCGGGGGAGTCGGGGAGCCATGCTTGCCGTGCGACCTGGGGAAATCTGGGGCTTAGAAGCTGGCGCGGGGATTGTGGATGGATGGGGATGAGCGGCGTAGACTTGGGTTGTAACAATTGGGATGGAAGAAGAGAAACGCAGAGGATGGCAGAGGAGATGAGGTGCAGTGATGGGGTTGTTGTGAGCGAGGGAGCTACGCTTCGGTAAAGGTGACGTCTGGGGTCGGCTTACGTCGGGCCAATTGCGTGAGCGGGACGTTGTGGTTTAGGGAAATGTTGTGCCGAGCTGTGTGCACGTTGCGACTTAGGGTAATGTGCTCAGTTTTCTTGCATACAGAGAATATATATTTCATTTAAGACTATTCCAATATTCCTGAATTAGTCGTCTTTTTTTATCAATCCAATTTGGTGGGAGGACGCTTCAACAAAGCAAGCCATCATGCATCACATACATAATTTATACCTAGTCACCAGAGAGCCCCACGCAAGTGTTAGCCGTGCAAATATTAAAATCACCAGGCAGCGTACTACAGTGATTATAAATATTTGAATTTGATTATTATGATTGTTCGTTTGCTTATCCTTATCAAAGAATCGACTGCCACCTGGCACCCCCACTGTTTGCCAGCTGGCGTGCAGCAGCACAATAAGGCAATAATCGGGCCCCTTGGCCAAGCTGCGCCTCTCCAACGCTTATTTCCAAACCACCAAACAAAACTTACACCCTTCCAAGTCGCGATACCTTCATAGCCATCGCCATTTGCCGCAATTCCCATCGCTCAAGCACCGCATTCGTCGATCCTCGCACGCGAATTACCAACCAATGCTTCGGAACCATGATCTCCGACATATCCCAGCCACCCCAGGCTGCCGCCAAGCTTCGCCCGGGCATTGAGGCTAACTAAACGGACCGCTGGGTGGGCTCCGCCAGCCGCACATCTCGGTCGCTCCAATGGATGATGCGCCCCATCACGCTATTTTAACCAGCGCTCACACTTGGTCGGTAGCTGCAGAAACTTTCGCTCTTCATTCCTTGGGGCATAGGTCTAGCTGTTGGTCAGGGAGGCGCTTTAATCCGGCAAAACTCGAAATCTAGCAACTTCCAGACCGTTTGGCTGTTCTTGGAAATGCAGCACGTGTGTTCAACTCGTTGGGCTCGGACTGGTAACCAAGCGCGGAAGCAGCAGCAGCAGCAGCAGAATCACCTCCCGAGTTGGACGTCGCCGTAGACGCCCTTTCCTTTGGGGGGAGCAAACCGCAACCATGACGACGACCGTTGCGCCGTCCTTTTCACGGACCACCGCCATCACCACACTCTCCTCCTCAACCACCCTCCTCCCATCACCGTCCTCACTCACCGTGCTCGTCCACAACGGCTTCGACGGCACGTCCGACTTCTTCCCGTTCCACGACCTCGCCAAGGTCGGCGGCTACACCAAGGACGACCTGACCTTTCGCGACCTGCTCCGGGACGGCATCGACGGCGGGCCGGTCGTCGACCTGTACCTCTCCGGCTGCCGCCGCGTCCACGACCGCACGCTCGACTGCCCGGCCGCCTGCAGCGACACGGCCCTCTACTTTGGCTCCTTTGAGACGTTTTACAACTGCGCCGCGCTCGCCGCCATTGCCCACTGGACGCGCGACGTCGGCGCGTACCGCATCGGCGCCGAGGCGGAGCGCAACGCCAGCGTGCTCATGGCCGGCGCGTCGCTGGCCGACTTTCAGGCACGCCCAGTGTTGGAGGCCTTTGCGGCGTGCGCGGCCGAGTCGTGCAGCGAGGACCAGCTCTCGGTGCCGTGCGACGCCGCCGTCGCTTCGCTGTCGCGCAACTCGTCGTCGGACGCCATCTTCTCCGCCATGGGCAACTTTTGTCCCGAGCTGCGCGCCGAGATCAACCCGGACATATTCGGCCCCGGTGTAAGCGCCTCACAGGCGGCTCCCTCCCCTCTCCAGGCTTTCACGCGCTCTAACACACATGCTGCAGGTCCTCATCTCGTACGTCCTACAGGTCGTCTTCTCCGGCTCGCTCTACCTCTTCCTAAAAATCTTCACCTTTTGGGTCGGCTACTCGCAAAAGCCCGCCAAGCGGCCCACCTCGGAGCGTCTCGTGCGGCGGCTCACACGCATCGAGTCGATGCTCTGGAAGGACTCGTCGGCGCTGTCGCGCACCAGCATCGCCATCGCCGCCACGCTCGTCGAGTTCCAGGAGGCGCAGTGCTGGTTCGTGTTTGCGGTGCAGATTGCGTCCATCCTCGCCATCGTGGTCAACTCGCAGGAAGGCAGCTTTTGGGGGGAAATCGTCGTCAACTCGGCCGTCGCGTTTCACGTGTCCCAAAACGGCATCCTGCCCATGTTTCTCGTGCAAATCTGCCTGCACAACGAGGGCATCCGCAACTGGCACACGTTTCTCGGCTTCTGCACCGAGTACCTGCTCGCCATCATCGCCACCACGCAGCGCGTCTCGTTTGGCGGCAGCGTCGACCTCTTTCGCGGGCAGCACGCCGTCGCGGCGTGCGGCGGCAACCCCAGCCCGCGCACCTACTGCGCCAGCAGCGCCGGCGTCGACGGCCTCACCCTCACCTTCTTCCCGCACCCGCTCGTGTACAAGCTCGTGTTCCTGGTGCTCGACACCGTCGCCATTGTCGCCCTCAGCGTCGACCAGCTCGCCTGGACGCTGCGCACACACCGCCGCACCCGCCACTGGACGCTCGGCGCCCACGGCCTCGGCCGCTGGCCCGACGGCCCGCTCAAGCGCCACTGGGTCCGCTGGTCCGCGTGGTTCTGGCACGGGCTCGAGTTTACCTACCTCGTCATCAATGTCCTGTACCTCGTGTCGCTCAGCAAAGTCATCAGCAACGACAGCTTCCGCGCGAACCGCTGGTCGTACGGCCAAATCATTGCCATGACGGTCTGGGGTCCCGTCATTGTCAAGCTCTTTTCCCTGATTCTATGTAAGCCCCCCTCAGCCCAGGCCAAGAAATTGCTGTGGCTTCCATCTGAGACTAATCGCGTTCATGATAGCTGGCCCGCCGAAAAACGGCGAGGGCCTCAATTCTGGGCCCCCGAGGCTGCGCATCGACAATGTCCTCAACCATCGACAGGCCGACACGGCCGACGACGGCATGAGCGCGTCCTCGTCCGCGCGATGGCTCCCGCCACCACCGCAGCAGCAGCAGCAGCGCAAGCTCGCCATGTCGCAGAGCCCAGACACAGACGGGGGCGTGAATGAAGAAGCGGACATAGAGACGCCGCCGCCGCCAAGAAAACGAACGATACGACATGAATGACGACGAATTTGAACCACGATGTACACACGACTCATGATGTAGATGCACAGTATTTTTACAATATAGAGAAAGCGGCTTCATTAGCATGATGTTTAATTTTGAATTCTTTTCATATCTCATAATTGTCTACAAGGTGTAAAATGCAACGCAGCGCAAAACAATGCAACCATCTCCACATCCATGTCGAACCCCGGGTATCAAACCAAAAAGAAAAAAAAAACACGTCAACGCCAAAAAGAGAAAGTTTCCTACAGCAGCAGCACTTATTCCATCATGGCGACCTCGCGCTTCTTTCAGCGCATATAGCCCTCGACAAAGCCAGCTGGATCGCACGTCTTCTCGAGGTTGATGCGGTGGAGAGCAACGTGCCGCCGAATCAGCTCCTTGTCGACGCGCACGCGGGGCACCGGCCTGCCCATCTCCATGTGCGCGGGCGATTTCGGCGGTGGTGCGGTAGGAGTCAGCGGCGGCACCGGGGTCGTCGCATTCTTCCTCTTCTTTGGCCTGTCCTCGGCGTTGTGCTCGTTGCCGGTGTCGTCCGCCGTCGTCGTGGCCGCGTCATCGTCGCCGTCGGCGGCGGCGGCCTCGGCCGTCTGCTCGCGCAGGACAGGCTTGCCGGGCCCGACACCGGCATCGTCGAGGACGCCCATGTCGCGCAAGACACCGAGGCAGTCGTCGGGCGTGATCCACGTCGCGTCGCTGCAGTCGCCCACGTCCACCATGAGCTCCATGCCGGGCGGCGGGATCTGCGGCCCGCCGTCGTCGAGGCTCAGCAGCCACCGCGCAATCTCGCCCGACCAGAACCGCTTGTAGCCCTTTTTGCCGAGATCCGAAATGGGCTTCTCCGGACCGCCGAGGATGCCCTCGCGCCGGGATATCTCGTACGAGACGCCCATGAGGAGCGCGCCCAGGCCCTTGCGCTGCCAGGGCGGGAAGACCAGGATGCAGGCCAGGTTGTTGTTGTCCCACGACATTTTTTCCTTGGAAAAGAAGCCCGTGACTTGCGGAACCGGCGCCTCGGGTGCCTCGTTGCCCACGGGCGGCTTGAACGGAGGCGTGTAGACTAATAAAAAGTAGTTGAAGCCAGTCACGTCAAAAAAGACCGACTTGTTGTCAAGAAATAGCTTGGCAAAAAGTGACAAATTTTGGCAAAACAACTGCAAATGGCATTAGCACATCATGTTTTCCCAAGCTCATGCAAATACAGTTCATCGGGGCAACTCACTCCGTCCACCTCTCCGTCCACTTCCCAGACGCTCCATTCGCCCTCATCCTGCACAATCTGTTCCGTGTACCGCACGCCACCGTCCCCGCGGCGCTTCTTAGGGCCGGGTCCTTTTCCGTCGTGCGGCACACGAATCTTCCGCCGCCCTCGGGGATGTACGTATACCCGCTGGCCGGGCACGCGGCCCTTGAGCTCGCAGGACCGCACGTGGCCCCACCACGCCACCAGCTCTTTGGCGTACTTGAAGCAGCTGGGACAGACATAGAGTCTCTCCAGCATGGGCGGCTGCTCCCGCTCCTTCCTTGAGACCGCCTTGGTTGCCTCGGCGGCGGCGGCGGCAGCAGCAGCAGCAGCGGTCGTGTGGTCCTTGACGCCGCCATGGCGCGCGTTCCCTGAGGTGTCGCCTAGCACCTCCTTTCCGTAGTAGCTCGGATACCACGTTCTGAAGCAGAGGTTGCCGAAGACGACCTTATCAATGTTGCGGTCAGCGCTTTGCGGGGGTTTGCCGCCGGTCAGCTTCGTCGGCGGCTTCGGGGGTAGCACGGGCGTCACGGTCGACGACGTGTCCATCCTAGCGGCGGTGGTGGCGAGGTAGCCGTGATGGCCGACCAGCGACGACGTGGACGATCGGCCCGGCTGGTGCGCGACGACGTGGTGTGTATTGTCCGGGGAGAAGAAGCCCGACGGGCGCGCATTCTCCTTTCCCAAATCACCGCCCATTGCACGGGCGGCGGCGCTTCTGTTAGGAAGCTGTGACGGCTCGAGCTGCGCTGGTAGCGGCGGCGGCGGCACGCGTGTAGCGGCGACCGGGCTCCGGGGCCACACACCGCCCAGTTTCGGCGGCGAGGGTGCCTGGCCAGGCACAATAGGAAGCGGCACGGGCGTGGCGACCGGTGTGGCGGCAGCGACAGTCGTCGTCGTCTTGGGCGGGCTGGCAATCGGTATCGGCGGTGGGTAGATGGGCGTCTGGCGCGTGGCGGCACGCGTACTCACGGCGGTTGGGTCCGGTGTCGGTGGTTGCGCTTCGCCCGGCCGTCTTCGCTTGGGTGGCATGTCGAGAAAGAGAGTGGCGCGGCGGGGGGGCCTCGCCGCAGGGGTTGATAATCAATTTTTTTCCCCGGCGGCAAAATTGACAGGGTCGAACAAACCAACCAAATGCCCAAAACGGGCGGGCGGTGGAGGGCAAACGGGCTTTCTGGAACGGGCTGGCAAAAACGTATTTTACGGTGTGATGACTGGCTCGCTCAACCGTAATAACTGGTGGGTGTGGAGAATTGGTGGCCTGTGCAAGGATACAAATGTTCAAGGCTCGGATGCGCGTCGTCGGGCTGCTCGCAGACTAATGTGTTGTTCTCTCAAAGACGCTTGATTGGAGGATTCGGGATGATGTACAAGGCGACAGCGCGACTCGACGCCGCGTTACCTTCTCATGGTTCTCACGGTGCTATGGCGTGTCACGTGCTGATATTTATCGTAGGATCAGGAAGGTGAGACTCCATCTCAGTCCGATCGATTCAAGAGCACTGTAGCGCATCGCATCGGGGCACGATGGGCATTTTGTTATTTTAAATTCCTGGTGCTGCCTGTCCCCAGCTCGCCTCTATTCCTAGCCTTCCAGCCATGACAATATGTAGTACAAGTGCAAAGACATCCACCGTCTTCTACTGATAACGTCTCGTCACCCACCACCACCGGCATGTGTGGGGCATCAAGTGCGCCCAGAGAGCACCGGAGGTTGATTACCAACCCCTAGCAAGTGTATGAAGCATGCGATAACCATTCTCACCCACTACATTCCGTCGAAATCGCCGCCTAGGTCGTCGTCATCGAGGTCTCCCTCTTGTATCTCCTTGGCGATTTCGCGTTCACGCTCTCTAGCTTCTTGGGCATTCTTGAGCTCCAGACGGTGCTGGTTCATGGGGAACTGCATAGCCTAAAGACGTGTTAGAAGTGGCGATGACTCGTGTTGAATCAGCGAGCTGATCTTACCTTGACGCTCTCGTCGTGCAGTGCAAGGCATGCCTGGATACGATCGTGGAATGCCTCGCCAGGTTCTCTAGTCGCGTACACATCACCAACCTCCTTGCTCTTCATAAACCCGTGTTCCCGATCCAGAGTCGCCTCAATGACGCCATCTCGAATTGCCTTGGCAACAATGTATTCAGCACTCTCCTCGCTTCCGAGATGCAGGCGAATGCAAATATCGCGCAAGGAGATGCGCGAGTAAGACAGCGACATCATACGGATACCAGTCTTGATGACATTTTGTCTCAAGCGCAAGATGAGAGAATATGTGCCGTCGCGGCGGAAGGTGTCAGCGTGATCGGCAATAGCAATCTCAAACTCCTCCAGGTTACCAACGCGGACGGCCTGGACCAGGAGCAAGTACGGGTGCAAAGCATGCTCAAGGGCAGGTTGGCGGAAGGTGGCACGGTCGGGAATGTCGCCCATGAGCAGCTCGACAACCATGAGCAGTTTGGTGGCGGTCTGAGAGAAGCCAACAGCGCAGTTGCTGGATGGCGCCTTGCGGGTGGCGGCGGTGAGATGCTCGTGGGCCTCGGTGTATCGTAGCTGGATGGCGCGGATGCGACCAAGGTAGTACAGGAATCGGGCGACTTGGTTGTTGACGGCATTTTCGGGAAATTGGGTGTGCGAGACCAGCAGATCAGCCTGTTTAATGTGAGAAGTCAAGAGATAGTTTCTCAGCAGCAGAACAATAACAGAGGCCTGCGTGTCGATATCCTTGCGCAGGACAGCGGTGCGGAGCGCCGCGAGCAGAGTCGGGCGGATGGCGACAATGGGAGACTCAGGCGACGGGGGCAAGGGCGCAATGTGTTCGCAGAAGACGGAGTAGTAAAAGTAAACCTTGGACGAGAGTGAATCCAATGTGCGTCGGTTCAGGGACTGCACGCGTTCAACGAGCTTCTCGGAAAAGGCCGCGCCCCTCTGGTACTGTTTGGCATCAAAGAGGTAGACCTGGACAAGAATACCGAGGAAGATATCAATCTCGGGAATAATTTCCTTTGTCTCCTTCTTCGAGCCATTCTTGGCGGGCTTGGAGTCGGAGTCAATATCCATCTCGCTGAGGGCCTTGAGAGGGATGCTCTCGCGGCCCACGGCAGCGAGCAGGGGCTTGGCGACATTTCCGGAAGCGACGGTAGCAGGGAAGGTGTCGACAATGGCCTGAGAAATGATGTCGGGGTTCAAATGTTTTCGGAGCAGCGAGATGGATCGAAGAGCTCTGAGGGAGAATCTGGCATCGAAGAGGGCGACAGCGCGGTCTAGTAGAGCAAAGTTGCTCTTGATATCTGGGGTGAGGGAAGGATTAGATTTAGAAGCTGGTAATGCGCAGTGGATGAGGCTAATGCTGATAGCTTACCTGTGACAGTCTGCTCCGTAGGGTCGACCTGCTCAACGACATCCTCCTCGCCCATGGCCACGTCGCCATCGGCGTCGGCAGCGCGGGGGGCGGGTGCCTTCTTAACCTTGGAGGGGGGCGCAACAACAGTCATTTCCTCGTCGCCGTCCTTGGCGGCCTTTTTGGTCTTGGACTTGCTCGCGTCCTTTGTCTCGCTCTCTTTGCGAACGCCGTTCTGGACAGGCTTTTTGCCGTTGCCGTGAGGTGTCTTGCTAGGCATGGCGCTCCGTCGCTTTCGATTTCAGTGGGAAACGGGGGGGCGGGAGTGCGTCAGGGCGACACGCGGCGAGAAAACTCCAAGACGAGAACGGCGAAGGATTGCTGTTGATGGACAAGACAACGCTCGTGATGGCGAACGAGGGCGGGCCGGCGGGCGCGCTTACGGGCCTGGCTGTTTTTAGGCTCGCGCAGGGCAGCGTCAGTGTGTGTGGGTGTGGCCCGAGCAAGCAGGCGTTCCCCGTGGCGAGACGAAAAATGGGCGAGCTGCAGCGGACGGGCGCGAAGCAAGCTTGGTTGGTATCTAAGGCGCAGAAAACGGCGCAAACGGGCGATTGGTGTGTAGACGATTGCAAAGCCCCGTCGTTGAGGGCTGAGATGGTAATGGTTGAGAGTGATGGCTTGAGGACGGCGTTGGGTAGTGCTGGAGAAGGTTCGAGCTCGGAAGAGATGGTGGAGCACGGGTTGAGTCGCGCAGGTTGCGTGAGCTGGCTGGCTCCAGGCGACAGAGGCACGCGTGGCAAGGCCGGCAGTACGGAGGTACTTACTGGCCATTGCTGAGCTAAGCAGGACACAGACGGTGTCATGCAAAGGTGCAGCGGCTCGGTGTTTGACAATCGTGCACAGTTCTTGTTCGGTTTTCTTTGTTTTTCATCTTTTACAAAACAAAGTGATTTTTTCAGCAATTATCCATTATGTCCTGGGTCAGCGTCAACCGCCAATGTACTTCGTGGCTATACCGGTGGCGCCTCCTCGCCATAATTGATCCATGACCTGTAGTAGTGCCATTCTCAGTGCATTACGCATTATTACAGTGCTGCGCCGCCAATACCCCACTCGCCGGATTCATCTTGAATCTCGCGATAACCGTTCATCTCGATCCTGCTAGATCTGGGCAGTTAAGTTCATGCCGCCGACATTGGATTTAATGCTGTGCTTGTCCACAGAGCACACGGCCCAGGAAATCATCCGACCAATACTACAAACATGTCTCCATAACGTGAAATGCATCCCAGACTTCCAACTCGCAGTCTTGAAGGATCCGCAAATAATTGACCGAATAGATGGATTCGTTTAGACATGGCCTATATCGCAGCCGTCTTGTTCTTGATATATACAATGTACAGCCTGTTGCTCTACTTGCTTCGGGCAGCACATCTTAATGTACACACCCCCCTCCCTTCATACAAATATATACATTCCTTCATATCCATTCCCTACAGCTCCCGGAGCGCGACGTAGCACTGCCGCGGCTTGTTCGTCAAGACCTGCACGGCCTCGTAGCTCGACAGCCCCGACGGGCACGGCAGAAACTCAAACTGCCACACCAGCAGCGTCAGCAGCTGCTTGAACTGGACATACACCATGCGCCTCCCAAAGCACCCGCGCGGGCCGAGCCCAAACGGGATCGTCGGGTACGCCGCCGGGTCAAACTCGCCGTCGGCATCCAGCCACCTCGTCGGGTCAAACCTGCCCATCCCCTGCTCCTCCTCCTCCTCCGCACGCAGCCTGTAGCAGCCCGCGTCCGGGCGCTCCGCCAGCGCTTTTTGCGCGCTCGCGCTCCGCAGCGCCTCCGCAATGGGCAGGTTCGGCGCCGTGTACCCCGGCCCCTTGTTGACGAGCACCACCGTGGTGCCGCGCGGGATGGCGTGCCCGAGCACCACCGTGTCGGCCGTGGCCTGCCGGTCCGTCATGGCCGTGGCGTGAGCGAGCCGCAGGATCTCCTCAATGGTGGCGACGAGGAGCGGCGCGCGCGCGTGCGTGATCTCAGCATGCGTGGGGAAGCGCGCCCCCGCGACGGCCGCCGGGTGCGCGCCGCGCAGGCACGTCCGCAGCGCGGCCTGGTGCTCCGCGTGGTCCGCGAGGAACTTGACCCCCCACGCGAGCACGTTGGCCGACGTCTCGTGGCCGCCGGTGATGAAGCCGAACATCTAGACAGCCTCTGTTAGTAGGGGGGACTTGTCGATGGAAACAGGGAACGAGAGGCGGTACTTCATCCTTGATGGCGTCGGACCAGTAGACGGGCTCGCGGTGATCCTTCTCTGCCAAGGTCCGCTCACGCTGTAAAATTAGGTCCAGCGCGCACTTGAGCTTGGAGAAGCCGCCGACGCCGTCCTGGTCCTCACCCGCGGCAGCAGCCTTGTCCAGTCGCGCCACCGCTTTTTCCACCTGCTCCTTGATGAACCGGTCCTTGAGCCTGCGCAGCCTCCGTACGCGTGGGAACCACGCCAGCACGCGCCACGCGATATCCGGGAACCCCGTCACCGCGACCGCCGGGATATTCTCCGTCGTGCGCAGCAGCGCCTCCATAGCCGGCGCCAGCGGCGCACACGGAAACGCCACGGCCTCCTCGCCAGCCCTCTCGCGGAGCCCCTCGCGCGCCTCCTCGCTCAGCCCCTCCAACAGGGCCAGCTGCTCCACGAGCGCGCGCTCCTCGGCGCCGTCCCCGTACGCAAAGTCATACAGCGCGTCCAGCGTCGCGAAGCTCAGATCCGCGGCCGCCGCAAACGGTCTGCCCTCGCCGGCCACGCTCGTCTTGAGGCGCCACAGGTCGAGCAGGCGGCGCGCGCCGGCGTACATATTGGGGGCGGCCACGCCGTGCAGGAACTCCGGGGACATGACGTCCTGCAGCAGGCGGCGGTGCGCGGCCCAGGCAGGGCCCGTCTTGAGGCAGGCGTGGAAGCGCGGCATCTCGCCGCGCAGCAGGGCGACGGCCAGGTCGGAGCGGTCGAACTCGTGCGCGCGCCGCACGAGGATGTCCTGCGCCTCGCGGAAGTCGGACACGACGACAAAGGGCCGCGCAAACGGCACGAGAAAGACCTGGTACACGGGGGCCCCGTGCCGCGCGCCCTGGCGGACCACCCACTCGGACATGTTGGACGGCAGCTCCTGCTGGAGCGCCATGATGTCGCCGAGGAGGGAGCGCGTGGCGGCGGCGTTGTAGGGAATTCCGGGCAGCGCCCGCGGGAGCAGCCACTGGCGCAGGGAGAAGAGGACCGTGAGGGCGAGGAGGATGCCGAGGAGCACGGTCTGGCTGGTGGTAGCGGAGGGGACAGCGAGCCGGACCATCTGGAGTGACATGGCGCTTGTCTCGGAACTTAGGGGTGCGAACAAAGGATTGTGAAAATAGGCCAGAAGGGGCGGCTGTCATGTATAGAGGGCCATTGGATGGGTCGGTTTCGCGTGAAAAGAGACGGGGTGTGCGGAAGTCCGCGTAATGGGGATAATAAGCATCGATAGACCTCGGGTGGTTTGGAAAGCCCGATATTCGCGCCAGAGCCAACATGGGCCGAGTGCCGCTGCGTACCTACATAGGTACTAAGGTAGGAGGTACGAGGTTGATAGCAATCATGGTGGCAGCAGCAGTGGGGGCGAAGCAGCCATGTTAAGCTTGGCGTGAGCGTCCATAGTGGCCGAAGTTGACATTCAAGTTCAAGAAGCAGAGGTGAGAAACTAATTTGTACATAGCAGCGCTGGGGGTGGGAGAAACAGGTTTTAAAAAATTCCTAAAAAACGTAAGCAATTTGTCAGATTCTACTCCTGGCATTTGTCTTATCACTGAAATGACCTTCATAGGTGATCATCTGCTGAAGAAAGCGTAACTCCTTTGCACATTTTATTCCACTCCTTCATCCATGTTCTCGTACGAGGAAATTAATGTGCGCTGCAAATGCAGAGCAATACTTGGCCACAACCCAGCCGTTCCATCAATACCACCAGTGGGCAAAAACGAGAAAACATGACAACTGGGACTCAACTCTGCACATAAACACATCGCTCTTTTATTTTCATTTGTGCCGTCCTCCGTATACCAAACAAACCATCACCTCACCAGATTCACCCAACCACGAGAGCAAGAAAATTTCAAAAAAAACGCCTTCAACGCCTCCAAAAATGACTCCCAAAATAAAGGAAAAGCAGAGCCGTCCTCTAGGATATAAATCTGCATTCTTCATTTCCCATTCCAAACTATATTATCCCCCCTTGTACTTCTTCGTCGCTTACTCGCCCTTGCCGGGCATGACCTTGGCAGCCTGGACGGCGCTCATCTTGGCAATCCAGCCGGCGGCGGGTTGCACCTTGCGCACCGTGCGTAGCTCATCCGACGAGTAGCCAGGCACACGAATGTTGTATGTGCGCTCCAGGACGAGCTGAATGTCGCGAATCTCGAGAACCTTGGAGCCGCGCTCCTTGGCGTTACGGCACGCCGAGTGCAAAACATTGTCAACAAAGCTGTCGGCCATGTTCAGGACGCTCTGTTACATTCATAGGTTAGCAAATTCATGTATCCGACAAGGGTGAAAAAATTATACCTCTTCTACCTCGGGCGTGAGGAGGTTCTGGTCGGAGCCCTCGCCCGGCGCGCCGCAGACCTGCCGCACCAGCTCGTCCAGTTTCTTCTTGCTTAGGACGTGATCTCCCTCGGCGTCGTGGCTGTAGGCAGGCACCTTGGCCATCGCCGGCTGGTTCATGACGCCACCCAGCGTTCCGCCGCCCTGGGAAAGCGTCGGCCGGCCTGGAGCGACGCCGCCGCCCAGCGTCACGCCCTGCGGGACCGCTGTGGCGCGCTCGGGCAGCTGCTTCTGGATCGGCATCTTGGTCTGGAGAGACGTAGCCGGCTGCTGGGATGGGTGCGCGTGCGGGTGGCCCTGCTGCTGCTGTGGTGGTGGAGGTTGCACGGCCGTGTTGACGCCGCCGTTGTTGGCGGTACCGGGTGTGCCAGCCGTCGGTGTGCCTGCTGCCTGTTGCTGCTGCGGCGGCGGCTGTTGCTGTGCCTGCTGTTGCTGCGTTTGTTGCTGCTGAGAAACCTGTTTCTGCTGCTGCTGTTGATGTTGTTGGGCTACGACGCCGGCGTTTGCGGGTTGGGCAGCTGCACGCTGGTTTGCGAGTGACATGGCAGCAGAGTGACTCAAGGCTCTAGTCGGTCCACCTGGTGCCTGCACGTTCGCGCTCTGCGGTGTGCCCACCCGTACGGCTCCCTGGGCCGGTGTTTGGGCTTGTGCGTTGGCGAGGGCGGTGTTGACGGGAGCGGGTTGCTGTGGTTCTTGTTTAACCGCTGCACCACCCTGAGCCGCCGCGTTCTGGGCCAGCCGCGCCTGCTGTTGCTGCGGCGTCGGGATATTGTTCGCTGGTGTTTGCTGCTGGCCAGCCATCTGCTGGTGATTCTTGGCGGCTTCGACGGCGGCATTTACGGATGTTGTGACATTTTGGTTTTGTTGCGTGGGTGTTGCGGTGCCGTTGGCCTTGTTCTGAGCAGCGCCTGCATTCGCGCCTCCTTGGATGCTTTCCTGCTGCCTCCTCACGGTTTCAATCCACTTCTGACCGTTGCTATGAAGCTCAAGTTGCTTCTCCCTATGTTCGCGGTACTGGCGCAGCTCTTCGTCCTTGAGCGGGTTGCCGGCCTGGGCGCGCTCGTGAAAGACCTTGTCCATGCTGGCGACCTTGTTCTTGGTGTTCTCCATAGTCATCAACGCCCGCCCATAGCGCGCTTTCAGATCCTCGATCCACTTTGACGCGTCGGCTGCCGATTTCTCCGCAAGAGAATGAGGCGCCTTGAACGTCATTCTATTAACGACAGCCATCAGGCGTTCCGGAACTTTCGGCTGCGTGAGCGCCGCTGTGACCGAAGGCTTGTCAGCAGTCGCGTTCTGAGCAGGCGCAGCGCCTCCATTTGCAGGACCCGCAGGATTTCCTGCAGCAGCAGCCGGCTGTTGCGCGGCCTTTTGTTGTGTCGTGGCTTGTTGCGCCGCAGCTTGTTGCTGCTGAGGGGTCTGTCCTTGGGAGCGCTGCAGCTGGGCCTGTTGTCCTTGTTGCTGCTGGGCCTGCGTTCGACGCGCCTGGATCTTGTTTATGAGCATGCGGGAGAACTCGATAATCTTGTTGCGAGCCGCCAAGTGTTCCTGGCTGTTGGGCGGTGAGTTGTTCATGCGTGTCCAGAGGCCGGTCACGCCGTGCTCGTATTTGACCTTTTCCTCCTCGCTGAGCAACGGTAGGTTTCTGATCTGGGCTGGTTGATACATGGGCGTCTGACGCGGAGCCTGGCCGGCCTGACCAGCTTGGCCCTGCTGCGGCTGGCCCCCGGCGTTATTCATGTCGCTGGCGTGGGAGTTCGATCGGGGGCGGAGGATAGGGTGCGCGGGGTTCCGAGGTGTCACACAAGGGGGTTTCCGACAAGAGAAGTCAATCACAGTATGGTACAGGGTGATTTCGAGTCTGGTTGGATGGGGATCTGGTTGGATGGCGTTGATACTGTCGTGATGGGTAAATAGAGGCGAAGCGCATCAAGTTCTGATTAGTAGAGGATGGATTATATCTTGAAGACCCCACTCGCGGCGGGCGGACGCGACTGACATGCTCGGATAATTTTACGGCCCTTCGCCGCTGAATCAGCGACAGGCAGGACTGGACTGGACAGCCTTGCACCAGGAGTGTTAGTGGCTCCATTGGTGGTTCTAGCAGCTGCTAACGAACTAGTGACGGCGCTGGACAGCGCTATCTGGCCAGCATTTGCCCAACTCCACTACCCCGGCTTCCCCAGAACCAATGCAGCTGCTAACCTGTACGTGAACATGTCGGATAAGATCACAGTTGCCGTGACGGAGGCCATGCACGGAAATGTGGTACAGGACTTTGTGATGCACGAGTCTGTACAATGCATGCGCATAATGTATGGTTTCCCGCGCCCACTGGCCCTCCGCCATCCGCTGCGGGGATGGCGTGTGAGAAGCAGACGACGGAATCATATGCTTGATAGCGTCGGACCGGCCAACACTTGTGGTATCATCCGCGACGAGCAACAGCAAGAAAATGGCCAAGCAAACGGATGGCGCACAAAATCGATGCACGTCGAGGTTTGTCAGAGAGGGAAACAGCCCGGTGGTTCGCCCCGTGGGCTCGCTCGTGAGGTGCCATCCGGCACGGACCCCGCTGCCCAACGCCATGCAACGAGCACTCGCATGGAACATGGCGCCAACCTGCTGGTCATTCGAGTGAGGTGCTGGGACGGGGAGCCGGGCCCTATCGTAGGTGGTCTCTCTTGCAAAGTTGATTGCAGCTTTCCTACTAGCTTGTGGAGCATCGTGTGCCTCTTATTATCGCGTCCTTGTCTAAATAACGCAAACACGTGGGAGGCTGTCGACATTGATGGCCGAGACTCTACGCTGTGCTTCGCGAGAAGCGAACAGCTGTGACGGACGAGAGCTCTGAATCAACGGCGTATTGGGTCCCTGGGGTTGGAATGCGGGAAGATGCTGCCCGGGTCTATCAGAGCTCATGGCCAATGCGACGTCAGAGGGCTGCATCTACATGTGAAATGTGCATGGCCACGGCCAATAGCCATGACGTGGAGGGCTGGGGCCGCGGGGGCAGCTGGCACTATGTATGTACTGGTACTGTATTCTCAACACATGAGTTATCGAACTGTGAGCGGCGTCGGGTCTCGGAGCTGAAAGAGACCCTTCCATTATTGGAGCGTGGAACCTTGTCTCTTGGGCAAACTGATCATTGAGCCTTGTCATTAGATTGATAACTAATTTGTAATGTTGCCCATTTTCAGCCACTCAACATGAAGACGGCCCAAGAACAAAAGACCCGAGGGTGGGATATGTGCTCGGAATAATACGTCTCCATATATCCTTCTACTACCCAGTGCGTCAGCACGCGATATCAGCCTTGAGCATCTACACGGGGGGGGATTGCCAATCTCCATGCAGGCCCAATCTCTTGTCCTGGAACGGTCCTGTTATTCCACAGCCTCCAATGTAGCGATAGTACATTCGTACATGTGAAAGCAACAAGGGGGAACTTGACGGCGGGATTCACGGCGGGCAACAGGAAAATTCCATCCATACGCGGCCGCCTGCCCGCGACCCCTCTCTCGCCAGAGAAGGTGTGCATTAGGCTCATGCTGGATCCCTGTCGACCTGTCTCGGCCGTCGAGGATTTTTGCAGAAAATTTTCTCGTATGTTCTGGAAGTCGCTCCAAAAAGTGGATTTTTTAGAATTTTTTTGGTTGTGCAATTGGGCCAAGGAGGAGGGCAACATAAAGGGGAGGGTGCGAGGTGAAGCATTGATGCCCAACGAGGGCGCAGATGATGCACGGCATAGACGCCGGGTTGGATGGGGGCCTGGGCGGGCGCAGGTACGGGGGACTTTTTCGTAGTAAAAATGAAAAAAAAACCCCCATCTCGTCAGTGAGAGACAGGGGATGGCTGGGATTTATTTAAATTTAGATTTTTTCTTTTGTATTTTAAATCATTTTCTTTGTTTCTTTCTGTCCAGAGAGGTGGTGAACCGCCACCCATGCCGAGGGACGGGGAGCAGAGTATAAGAGGACGGAGAGCTGCCAGCGCCGCGCGGGTCGGAGAGAGGGCTATTTCACGATTTGCACACGACCTTCTTTCCCCAAGAACGACGACATTCTTTTATATAACCATCACCTAACTAGTTCTTTTTCTTTCTCCCGTCGGTACAGATTACCACTGCCGACAGGTCAAGCAACAGCCGCAACAAGCTGTCTCAGGCGGCTGCAAGCTCCCCTCCATCGGAATCCAGCCCGTCGGGTTCGGCAGCCAGCCACGCGCAGGTAAAAGGTCGAAAAAAATCTGAAACGGAAGAACAAGAAGAAAGAGGAGGGACACGAGCCGGCTGGAGCTGTGCGGTAGTGGCGGCTGAAGGTGTTTTGGAAATCTGACATCTGATTGCTGAGCGTCAAGTTGAGTCAGCCTGCCAATTACCTACTACTAGGTACCATCAACCCATCTCGAGGCTGGGCTTATCAAGACACAGGGCGTCGTCGTCTGTTTTACAGCGGCTTATTGGTCATGTTATAGTGGTATCTTCCCTTATAACGACCTCGAACAGCCCCCTGATCACAGCCCCCATCGCCCGGAATACCCCTATAAGCGCTCCTTGTGAGCTGATTCGACCACCCCTGTTGCTTCAACACCGCCCTGGTCTGCCCTCGCCTCTCTTCTTTTTTTTTTTTTTTTTTTTTTTGCTGGGATATTGTGTCAAAGCAAACGCAAACTTGCCAGCTTCCTCTTTCTTCTTCATCATCTCGCCAGAAAAAAATATTTTTGGGCGACTCAGGCAACGTTTTGCTTTCCACGAGAAGTCCCCTCACTCCGAGATATTATTATATCCCCTCCTGGCTTTAGCGGCCCGTCCTAATTCGAGTGCCTTGGCTGCCCTGTTCCTTTCCCACGAACAGTCAGCCCTCCTTGTCGTCCAAGGCGCACAGCAACGGCGCACCCGTCACTTTACCACTTTACCACTCTACCACTCTACCACTTCACCACCTACCACCATCATCACTACTTCGAGGCACTACTTCCAACTTGGGACCGGTCTTTTTTCTTCTTCGAATCACAGCCCATCCGAAGGCTGATTTATTTCAGGAGGGAACCCAGCTCAGCCCCGTGGCAGACCAGACCAGACATCAACCACTTCTTGTGCCCAGCAAACGAGACTGCTGTGCTCTCCTTCTTCACGCACACACAAATCATACCTCTACACCACGCAACCTCAAAAAGCAGTAGTCCTTGGTCGCGCTGTTCTCCATCCCCCCCCCTTACTCTCCCCCAATTATCATGACCACCGTCGCAAACCGCATTCTCGCTTCTTCCCCGCTCTGGCGGTTCATACTCTGGACCTGGACTCCCTGACTCCCTGGCTTCCTGACTCGACCGCAACTTGCCTCGCCCTCGCCCTCGCGCACCGCTACCTCCTCGCAGTATAGCGTTAGCTACTAGGGACGGACCGCTCTCTCGCTGCCCCTCTCTGGCGCATGCGCATGCATTGGACCATACCCCAAGGCCAATCACCAATTCTCTTCAGTCAGGCGCTGCGACCTGCCCAGATAATACGTTTTTCCTTCTTTACTTAAAAAAAAAAGTCGCCCTGCGCTGCAGTTGTCGGCATTCTACGATTACCCATCCCCTGCCTGCAGCGGCCAGTTCTCATCCGATATTACTGCGTTGCTCTGGCCTTGTTGCGTTTGCTGCCGCTACTGTGACTCTTACCACCTACCTCCTACTTGGCACCACACACACCCATCGTGAGCCAGTAGGTACACTTCGAGTTCACGGCATCACAGCACGTCAACATACGTTTCTATATTTCCCGAGTATTGAATTGACGCTCGACCATCTGCCATCTTTTTTCATCAAAGTGGCTGGTTTTTATACCATTTCCAACACCGACACAACCCGCCTAACTCAGCACCATCGCCATGCCTGCTCCCAAAGGCGGTCGGCGGCAGCCTAGAATGCCTACGATGCCTAACCTCAACTTGAGTCGCCAGCAGCTTCAACAGACCAAATCCCAAGCTGATCCAACCTCTCCGCCCCATACCCCTACTGCATCACCCCAGAAATCTCGCAAGATCCAGCCCAGCTTTGCTGAGGCGTCTCGCCGCGCTCCGAGGGATCCTCACATCCAACCTGTGGGCAATGGTCACCAGTTTAGCTACCAGCCCTTTATAGGGCCAGAGCAGTTTAGCCCTCGCTCCCCATCTTCCTCTGAAGTTCCAGATGATTCTGGGGATGAGTACTCGTCTGAGGAAGAAGACTACCAACCTCACCTTATGAAGGCTCCGTCACCTCTAGCTGCATCTGATACCCCATCCTCTCAAGACGACTCTGATACGTATGACGATGAAGACGTCGAGGAAGAAGGCGGCGAAGAAGAGGACGAGGAGGATCCTGACGAAGAACTCCAAGACGCTCAACTACAAGCCGATGCAGCCAAGCAATCCATCTCTCCGATCGGAAGAGTAGTGGATATGGAAGATGATGACGAGGAAGAGGAAGAGGAGGAAGAATTGAGCGACGTTGAACCGAGAATTCATGCCGCAAATCGATTTGCCTGTCTGATGGAAAGAGCGGCTGACACGGAGGACGAGGGAGAAGAAGAGGAGGAAGATGACGAAGAACTGCAAGACTCTGATATGGAAAAAGATGCAGCGAAGCCATCCGTCTCCCCGATCGGAAGGGCAGTGCAGATGGAGGACGGCAGCGACGAGGAGGAGGGAGAAGCCGAGGAAGAGGATGATGATGATGATGATGATGATGATGATGATGATGAAGAGGAAGAAGAAGACAACCACGACAACGGGGAAGATATGTCACGGCCAGCCATGGAATCTCCCGTCTATGCTACCACCGCAACCGCAACGACCACCGTCTGCGACTTTGTCCTCGAAGACATGGATCCCATGGATAGCGACAATGGCTTATCTGTCCTGGACCCCGATGAAATTGAGTCCAACCGTAGCCGATCGAGCTCGAAGAACAGAGACAACGACCCATCCACATTCGAGCACAAAGAGCTGCCCATCCGAATGATGCAAGATTTGAAAAACCTGCACTGCAGCGCCGAGGCCTCGGACGAGGAAGCGGAGCAGGACACGGAAGAAGCCGCCTTTTACAAGTGGCAGCAGCACATGCGCCGGCGTCGGCTTAGTATCTCGAGCAGCATCACCGGCAAGCGCACTTTTAGCGAGCGCAGCGACTCGGACGACTCGGACGACGCCGGCCTCGACGTCAACGAGGTCGGCTCCAGCGCGCGCCGCCTGCGGAAGCGCATGCACCGCGGCAGCCTACTCTTTCAGGACCCGCCAGAGCCGCGCATTGACGAGCTTGAGGAACCCAACTCGAGCGAGGACGAGTTCCTCCCCACCCAGAACCACCTCGGCATGAATTTGCCCTCCTGGACGATTGAGATTAACGAAATGGAAGACTCGCAATGAAGGAGATGACAACGAAGGAGATGACAACGAAGGAACTGGCAAAAAAGGCATGAACCGACACTTCTGATCGGTAGTTTTGGAGCTAGTAGCATTTGAAATGGGGCTCTTATTTTAGTTCGGCGATTCCTCCCTCATATACTTGGGATGGTTTCTTTTTTTTTGGATTGGAAAATATAGATAGACATGGGATGCATTTTCTTGAGTTGCTGCTGGGTGCGGACGGCTTCCCTCGCGGGATGGGGTTGTTCATGGCCATGTTGGCAGAAGCAAGTACTGGAAGGAGAAAATGCAGGATATGCCTGCTATGACCATGGTTTGGTTTGCTTATTCTTTTGATCTTCTCGTTTCTGCACTTAGATAGGTACCTATAGACATAGAATGGGAAAGCGTTACATTACTTTTGTTGGTAAATGAGGTAAATTGAAGCATGATATAGGGACCAGAGCACTTTTTTTCCAACAAAAAAGAGCAAATAGAAGAGAAACGGAGAAGCATCGAGAGTACCTAACTAGCATATGAATATACGGCATATGTTGATAAATTGTCGTCTATTAGATGCAATCCAGATAAGCCTTGCCGGACCTGGTGGGGTGGACGGGTGGACGGGTGGACACGGCAGCAACGTCCGTGTTTTGATCCCCGCCAACGGTCCAGCTTTCCAACTACATCTCCTCAACCAGATCTCAGCCAACAACTTCGATTCGTGCCGCAAAACGCAGCCATTCCTCCAATCACAATACAAAAGCGCGCAGCCTGATCAGACGGATCACCTTGAGCCACGATCCAACAACTTGCTCCCCCATCCGCAGCAAACGCGCTCAGTCGCGCGCAGCGGCCAGCAAAACAAACTCACCATGTCGCACCTAGGCTCTCATCTGGAGCAAATCCACTACTCTTGTCAAGGCATCGACCTTCTCCCGTGAGAGTCCCTTTTCAAACCCACCACAAAAAAAAAACCCCCAAGCTTACCCGTTCTTGCAAGCTTCCCACCGCCCAAAATCTTCACGAACGCGCTCCTCTCCCGCCACGACATCACGTCTCTGATCCGGGACACGGAATCCCACGAACGCGCGCTCTTCTCCGTCCCGGCGCCGCCCCCGCCAGTTCCCGCCAGCACCGCGAGCAAACGCGCTCCCGAAGCCGGCGACGCCAAGACGCAGCAACCGGCGGCTAAGCGCCGCCAAACCGTCTTCAACGTGACCACCACGGGCGACGTCGTCACCACCGGCCCCCGCCACAACACACAACCACAACCAGCGCGCAAACACACGGCCGTCGCCGCCGTCCTCGGGGGGTCCATGCACCAGCGTCTGCAGCGGAGCGACGCGGCCGTCGACGTCGAGGTGCTGCTCCGCGGCGCCGAGACGCTGTGCGGCGTGTACGAGCTTCCCGGGGCGAGGGAGCGCATCGCCTCGCTGCGCGCCAAGTGGCGCAACGGGCGGGAGACGGTGGCGTACTACGAGGCGAGGGTCGCGGAGCAGGCCGTCGCGTTGGCGGGGCTGAGCCGGAACTGGATGGACGAGGAGGACGAGGCGCCCGGCGCGGAGGAAGGGGAAGGGGATGTGTGGACCGTGGAGGATTTGAAGAGGGAGGAGGAGCAGGCGAGAGAGCTGGAGACGAAAAAGAAGGAGCTGCAGGCGAGGCTGCGCGCCATGGAAAAGGACCTGGGTGGGCTGAGGAGCATGTAATGCGGAATGGAGAATGAGATGAATGATACCCTGTGATGAAGTGCCTTGGTAGCGATGTGTTGGCATGAATTTGACCTTCCGCTTTTGCGCTTGGTTGACGTTGCGCCATGTACCCTACAATAGTATAAGTGAAGACCAGGTGGTGTACGCTCGAGCCAAGAAGGAGATGCAAGAGAGCACAACTCAATAGACTGGGTTTCTGTATCAATTAAGAGCTCTGCGGCAGGTGTAGCATGGGGGCAAGCGGAATTCTATTATTATATTCAGTACATTGCTACCATGTCATCTCACGCGAACCCCGACACAAACACGGAATTCGCAGCCTTGCTCTTGTGCTGCAACGCGGCACCGTATCTGATGAAGACAAATGGAATAACGCCCATCAGCAATGCACAAAAACCGAGCAGCGAGGGTGCCTAATGGATTCCCAACCGCGCATACATGAGACCGGCCGCCAATGGCAACAAAATTGCCCCGACCGACCGTGTCATGCCCGCCGCTGCATGGGCCGAGGCCGAGTTCTGCCGGAAGACATCGGTCAAGTAATTGGCCATGTCTGTAAACACCAGCTGGTAGCCAATGTAGAAGAACATGCCACCCCATGAAGGAAGTATGGGCGAGGACGATTTGTTGTCCGACACGGTCCAGCCCAACCAAAACAGTGCAATGACCAGGCTACGACGCATCAGCGAAATGGGCAGGACTTGTCAAGGGTACACGTACCACGGAGACGCAAAACAGGCGAGTGGGAGTCGGCGGTAGATTTCGCGCTGCGCCCATGGCTTTCCGGCCTCGGCAGATACGTCATACCATCGATTGAAAATGTAGAACAAGGGCAGCGAGATCAGGATACCAACAATCACTAGTTGAGATGATCAGCGCCACGACCCGTGATGCGACGCGAAGCCGGCGATGACGGGGCCCACACACGGGCCGATGCTGGTGACGCACATGTAGACGGCCAGCGCCCGTGCCGCGCCGCGACGGGGTCGTCGAGAATGTCCGCGTACAGGCCGCCCACGACGCCGCCGCGTTGACGCCCCCCCGAGCAGCCGCAGCACCGCGTACGACGGCGCCGCCCGAGCACAGCAGCACAAAACACCACGTACCCGACAAACGTCCCCGTCAGCACCGGCCTGGCCGCCCCACGTACTCGCTCAGCGGCCCGAACAGGAGCGGCCCGAACACGTAGCCCACCATGTAGAGCGAGTTGAGCAGCGTGAGCTGCGCGCGCGAGTCAAACGCCAAAGTGCGCCGAGATGGCGTCGAGCGCGCCTGACGGGATCGACGACCCGAGGTTGCAGTTGAAGGTGCAGGCGAAGCCGGCGATGATGATGTGTAGTTTTCTCGGCTGAGGGTTGTTTTTAGTTTGAGATTTGCGTTTCTTTTTTGCAAAGCGCGGAAAGAGATCTTACCCATGATAGCTAGCTTGAGAGGGTTGATAACCTGCTTTGCGCCCGTCTCAGTCGCAGATTCATCGGTATTGCCAACTCGTGTGCTCTGCACCCTGGCCATTGTGTCCATGTTGGATGTCATGGTTGCTAATTGCTACCAAAGGGTAAAGCGGACACATCTTAAATATACGCAATTTGAATATTCGATCGGTCATCAACAGCGCTGAGCAAACACACAATAGTGATGGCCTGCTTCCTTCTTCACCGCTGTGCATCGCCGTGATTGGTCAGAACCGCCGAGCTGCCGGTACCGGAACGGACCCGCAATTACCGGCCACAAGTCGCCGAGACCCGATTGCCCTTGTCCTTGCATGTTCCGCCCAGCTCCAACAAAGGATAAGGCCTTATTCTCACGTTCTAGATTCTACAAGATCCGAATCCCATGTCGAGAGAAAGGCGTCCGGAGACAGATCGGAGGCCAATTGTGGTGCCGCGGAGCAGTACCAGTATGTCCCCCCGGACCGATCCCGGGTATGGGCTGCATCTCACACACAACTCACAGACGGGCGCGCCCGCGTCCACTGCGAACTACCGCAAGGTCCGCTGCGATGTCGTCGACAAGGGGTCGCCGTGCAGCAACTGCCTGGGCCAGGGGCAGCCCAACTGCCAAGTGTACATACTAGGAAGAAAAAGACCCGCGCAGCAGCAGCAACACGCAGCGGCGGGGGCGACTCTCCTCCGCCGATTGCGCCCCGCGGAGCTGTCACTGCGCACGACGAGCACGAGCACGATCCGGGCAGCCTAGTCGAACTCGTGTACCGGCAGGACCTGCGGCAGGGCGAGGTCGGGCAGCTGGGCCGGCTGTGCTTCATCGGCAGCGACGTGTCCAACTTTAGGTACATTGGCAGGTGGCGCCGCAGAGCCAGAACGTCTTCCACATGGGCAGCCGGCAGTTCCATTGGCGGGCACACGGCGCACGAGCTGCAGCGCGTGCCGGCCCTCGGCGCTGGCGTCGGTGTCCGGCGGGGCTCGAGGCGCGGCTTGCTGCGCGCCTGCTTTTGACCAACGTCAACTCGGGCTGGCCCGGTCATGGACGGAGGCCGTACCTCATGGCGCCAGTACCTCGGCGAGGACGCGGCACGGCGCCCCGCTCACGCTGCCCGCTGCTGGATGCCGTGCTGCTGGTCGGCGCGCACGTGCTGTGCGGGCAAGCGGCGAGGACTCGGCCGTGTGCGCGGGCGCCGCGGCGTCCAGGGGAAAATTATATAAAACGGCACGAGTGAGGCCTGTTTTTTAACAGAGCACTAGACACGTTCTGCCTTTCAATATGCAATTTTCCCCTGTCACAACGCTGTTAGGTGTCTACCACGGCTCACAATTCGTTTTTCTTTTTTTCCCCGTAATAGCAGCTACAGCGTTACAGGGGAAAATCACATATTGAAAGGGAAAAGTTCAGTGCCCTGCCAAAAGCTGGCATGAATTTGACCGTACCTAAGTACCATTCAACACATCGGTACCTTTTTTGGAGCACAGAACCTCCACAATACATCATCTTTCACACAATCACACCTCAATATATCCCACGCAGGTGCCGCCGCGACAAAGTCGCCGTCCTGGAGGGAGCCGCGAACATTGTAGTGATACCAGACCTCGTTGAAGACCTTGCCGCCGCAGTTTAGGGTGACTTGGGCGCCGTGCTTCTTGGACAGAACGCTCTGGATCGGGGCCACGTTGTCGGCGAGCAACTGGTACGTGGGCAGCGTCTTGAAGCGGCCGACAGCACGGGTGAAGAGGCTGAAAAGACGAGCTCGTGTGTAATAACAACGCGATGCAATTTTTCTCATTCAATGATACAGCTACTAGTCGCTATTTTTCCGTCTTTTATCAGACTATTCTCCCTGCTCCATTATGTGGTCCAAGTTATTCGTCTTGTCCACTGCACTGACCAATCGATCTCGATGATCAACTACTGCATAACAAAAGCAAGACCGGCGAGCACCAGAAGCCCCGCGACCGATGCGCGCACGACGGAGCCGCTGTTGCTCACAGTCGGGACCGTCGTGGAGCTGGTCTGCGTGCCCCAAGACCCGGAGCTAGAGCCGGCAGTCGGGTTCGTAGTCGTGTTGCTGCCCGGAGGGCCGCCGCCGGGGGGGCCGCCCGCACCGCCCGGACCACCGCCGCCGGGGCCGCCCATGCCGCTGTTGGCATTCTCCACGCCGCCCGACTCGTAGATGAAGGCCGCGGGCGTGACCTCGCTCGAGTACGTCGTGTTGATGCCAAACGCGAGCCACGCAAACAGCCCGTCGCTCAGGGCGTCGCCGAGGTAGACGTAGTTCATGAAGGGGTCCACGCCGTCGGTGCCCGCCTCCTGCGCCAGGATGGAGTCTTCCGAGTTCTCCGTCAGCTGCTGCTCGTTGCCGCTGTACGGGGAGATGTTGTCGGCGGCCGTGATGAGCGCCTGGTCGAAGAAGGCCTGGCCGACGTGGCTCGCGTAGACGTCGTTGCCGAGCGTCTGGTTGGCGTACAGGGTGGCGTTGGTGTGCACCATGACGTGGATGTGCGTGGCGCGGCCCGTGTAGTGGCCCGGGAAGATGGACTGGAACTGCGCGACGCCGTCCGTGTCGGTGGCCTGGATGCCGCGCAGGGCCGTGTTGTCAATGTTGGAGGCGTCGGCCGAGTTGCCGTTGCCGTTGGCGACGACGCCCGAGTAGACGCCCGTCGAGTTGCAGTGCCAGATCTCGACGTAGACGTCGGGCACGGGCTCGCACGTGTCGACGTCAATGACCTGGTAGTCGAGCGTGATTTCCACGCCGGGCTCCGACTCGGTCACGTCCTTGCGGAGGGATTCGCCGCCCACGTCTGTCCGTGTTGTTAGTTACGAGCGCAGAGGACAAAGGCAGGCTATAGAAGGGGAAAAACGTACAATACGGGCCTTGGGTGACTTCGGGGGTCAGCAGGCAGGACCCGTTGCTGGAAAAGAGCTCCGAGATGGACGTGCTCTCGGTGTAGCCCAGATCGGTGCTGTTGTGGGATGTGTCCAGGTCGCTGGCCGCGTCTCGGCGCTCGAGTCCGCGGGCCACGCGCTTGCTCTCGACCGCGGCCGCGCGCCGGGCAACGTTGGCGGCCTCGACACCCCGGGCCTTGAGCTTGTCCGCGCAGTGCGCCAGGGAGGACCGTCTCACGGTCCGGAGAAAGGCCTGGCGCTCGGCAATCTCTTCACTCAAGTCATGGCCAGGATGGGCATGGGCAACGCCGGCAGCGGCGGCCACTAGTGCCAAGACCTGTGGGAAATGCATAGTATAGAAAGATTTAGGGATGGGGGGGGGGATGGAGATTGTGGCTGTCGATGGGGAGATTCAGATTGAGAAGATGGTTCCTGGCCCGACTACTTATACCCTTCACGCAAGGTTTTCATAACAGCAGCGTCGTCAGCTATGACCGCCGCATGAAGCTGGATAATACACGTCACCCAACGCAACGGCGTAAAAAGCAGATTGAGCTTTGCCAGCCGGAACCCCATTTCCCCCCAGAGCATGATACTACAACTGTCCGCGTCAGCCACGGGGTTTCCCGAAGCTGGAAAGCCGGGCCAATCAAGTCGAGGAGCTTCGTAATTTGGAACCGCCATCTGGGTGACGTGCGATGCGCCACGAACAAGGGATCTAGCTGTAGTCCTGATTCGTTCTGGCCCCCATGGCATGGACTAGCGGAGGTTTGGGTTTTCTCGAATCTATGCATGTTATCGTAGTGCGGACCAGCAGGAGATATTTAGAGTTAGCCAAGCCAATCAAACGCCGAGTGCGAGTCAAGGCGGCAGTTGTTTCCGCGTCAGCAAAGTTGCAATGACTTCACCGTCCCCGGCCGGACAAACGCCTCCATTCACCATTCTTTGGGCAGGTTCTGTTTTGGACTTTGAGCAGCTCAATGGACTCAATTGACTCACATGGAGCAAATCATGACAAGATCATGAGAGTAAGCAGGTGGGAATGGAACGGAGATTGCCCTCAGCTGCGGAAAGTGGCGGTCGACGTCCGGCAATTGTGACTTATTACAGTTAAAGTCAAAAACGATTCCATGTTTGAGGAAGGCGGGGAGATGTGGTGCGTGGACCGAGTTCGTGTGTGTGGGCGGATTCGGAATGTGGGAGACGATGTGGGATTGTCCCGGGCACGGGCGCTTTGTGGCGGACTGCGACGTGTGGCGAGCTGACGCGGCGCACGAGGCGGCTAAAACGCGGGCAAGGTGCACGGCCGCGTTTTGGTTTATGTTACTATGTTTTTATGTTTGTTTTTATGTTTTTTACGTGTTTTGTGGTGTCTGTTTTATGTGTGTTGTGCTGGTTTGCCTTGTATCGTGCCGAGGTTGCGTAAGTTGGTTGGTTGCCTAAGCGGGGCTTGTTCTGTGCCTGTTTGTATAAACTTGTGAAGAATAACGACGCTGGAGGATGTGAAAGGCGGGTCAATCAGGTTTCTCTAAAAATGAGCTTAAACATTGAGAGCGGGATTTTTGACAAGAAACTAACAATGTTGTTCACTTCACGCTGTTGGTGTCTGCAGGACCAGTGTCGGTCGAACCCGAGGCCGTCTGCGGCAAAAGGATTGGCCCAGCCGGGTTGTTGAGTGAAACAGTCGGGTAACCGCACCCTACGTCATTTTGCCCGTGTGCAAATGGTCACAAGTTTTGTTTTGTTTGTAAGAGTTGGGCTGCAGACCGAGACTCGGACCAGCAGGATCCCGGCTTTAACACGGGCAGGACATGTCGGGGATCGTCACTGTCACACAACATGGACTTTACGAGATTTGCCCCTCCATCGCCAGCTTGCCCATAATTCTTCTTCAACCAAGTCGCTCTACGGTTGGTTGCTGTGGCCAATCTCTGCTTGGTGGAGATGAGGCTAAGTCGGGATGGCGTATCCGTACCCGGGATGGAAACGGGCGCTAAGCCGAGAACTGCAACCGGTCAAGACGAGACGAGAATGGATGAAGCGACTCTGACGATTCATCGTTCATCTTCTGGATATCGTTGGAGCGACACACAAGTCAGCCGCTTTCGTCCCTTTCCTTTCAGCCGGCATTCATCTGTAGCCGCCGCCCCTCCGCAGCCCTGCCCCTTTTACGTCACATCACTCACAAGTCACACCACCAAGCAAGCTCCGATTCGCCTAACGAAACAACCTCGCCCTTCTCACAGGAATCTGTATCCGGTCGAATAAGCCCCCCCTCATCCTCTCCTTTCGATCCCGGAAAGCGCATCATCCCGCTGCGGAGCCTGGGCGCCAAGGAAGAGCTGTGGCAGTGTACGCAGGTCTCCGCGGTTACATGCATATTATTGCGGCACTCGGGACCAGTTGGCATCCAATTGTACCTCACCACGTCACGAGGCACCGAACAACACTTGCATTCATGCGTCACAGCCCAGCAGACAGCAGACAACACCTGGTAAACGGCAAACGGCAAACGGCCAACTACCCCTCCTTGCGGCATTTGCCCGCTCGAGGTACATGGATGAGCAAGTGAATGGGATGTGAGGGGCACGCAGACCGCGGGGGTTGCGGCGAGGTATATAAGTGCGAGAAGCTTCCCCTCCGTCGCCGCAACTATCCTTCTACATACTCCCATCTTCTATCAGTCTTGCCCTCTTTCCAGAACCATCATCAACCACCCAAACACACACACACACACACCATGACTTTCCCCGAGGGCGAATTCCCCATCCGCAACCGCGCCAGCGGCCGCGTCCTCGACGTTCAGTACGCCTCGACCGACTCGGGCACCTCCGTCATCGCCTGGGAGTTCAAGGGCGACGAAGACAGCTCCAACCAGCGCTGGCGCTTCGAGGACAACCACCTCATCAACGTCAACTCGGGCCTCGCCCTTACCTTCAACTGCCTCGACCCCGAGTCCCTCGCCACCCAGGAGGAGCGCAACGGCAGCGAGGGCCAGCGATTCGAGTACGAGGACGGCACCATCCGCCTTGCCGACCGTGACGACCTCGTCGTCGGTGAGTGGGAGGGCGACGTCAAGATTGTCGTCCGTGATGAGAACGACAATGCCCGTCGCTGGGACTTTTAAGTGCGCTCTTGTGAGCATGGAGTACAGCTTCCTTCAAGAGCGTCATTTGGGACCAAGATTTGCTTCCCACTGTTGAATGAGTCTCACAGTTGCGTTTTGGGAAGCTAGGAACATGCAGAGGAGCTATTCGAGCTGGGTTCTGGACTTGGTTACGCGCCTACGTTTGGACGCTGCTGTAAACACTTAGCTCAGCCGATTAACTCCAAAAAATCAAGAGATTAAGGAAAAATCACGACAGAGATCCGCCAAATCTATCCAGTAATGCTACTTGATCCATTCTTGATTCCCTTGGCCACAGTACTGCGGGCAACCCTCGGCATATGAGGGGCAGAGGAGCTACTGAGTAATTTGTACAAGTCGGCCAATCCTGGTGACGGCCATGGTGCCTTTCCGCCAGGCGTACTAGCTGAGTGGCCTCAAGTAACGATTTGTTATTTATCATGGATAAATGAACTGCACCTTTTATTTATTTGATTATTTATTCCGAGAACCATCAGTGAGTTGCAAAACCGTTATTACGGGGCGCATGCGAGGAATACTAATTCGTACCACTTTACGGGTTGTCGCGCCCACTAACTGCATCTAGCCTCAAAACGCGTCCTGGTGTTACCAACCACCATCTGTCACCAGACAGCCCTCACCGCAAGTTTTGTCCCGACAAGTAATCAATTCCCACCAACAGCGCAACGCAAATGACGACCCCAAACCATGGACGACAAAACAAGAGCTCCTTATGAGCAAAGATCCCAACAGCTCCGCGCCGACCTGAAGAAATGGGAGAGCGAATGGGCCGACGCCAATGGCGGCTCCAAGCCGGGTCGACAGGATATAAAAGGCAGCCCCGACATAGGTATTGCACTTTTCCAAACTAGGCCTTGATCCCAAACGGCCCTGACAGTTTGATAGCTGCAAAATATAAAGAATACAACAAGATCCGAGACATTCTCGCCGGCAAGATCCCCGTGCCATCACCACGCGAAGAACAACAACCCAACCCCAAGAAACGCCGTCCCGACCCGCCGCCTGCCGAGACGCCGCTCAAGAAGAACAAGTACACCGAAACCCCCACCAAGAACCGACCCCCCGACGAGGACCAGTTCATGAGCACGCCCGCCATATCGCGGAAACTCTTCAGTCCCGCGCCCGTCACCTCCATCGGGCCGACGCCGCAGCGCGACGGCAAGGTCCTCGGGCTTTTCGACCTGCTCCTGGCCAAGGAGCTGGGGGGCGGCACCCCGAGCAAGAACAGCGCCGAGAGCCGGACACTACCCCCCAGCACACCGGGCGGCCGCCGCCACCACCGGCACGCCGACGACGCGGCGACGACACCGAGCGCGCGGCGGGGCTCCGTCGACGCGAGCGCGCGGCTCGGCCGCACGCCCATGTCGAGCAGCAAGCGGCACATGCTCAACACGTTCATGACGCCGCTCAAGAGCCGGGACGCCGCGGGCGGCAGCGGCACGACGCCGCCGTCGCGCGGCAGGGACGGCTGCGCCGTGTCGAAGCTGCAG